CGAATGGGTATTACCGATTACACCACAGAAGGAGCTCCTAGAACTGTACCAACTTTAGTACCGATCTCTAGGGAAACTACTAGTACAACATCTGCTTCTGAAACAACGACGGCCCTTCCTCAAGAGACAACCCGAATGGGAATTACCGATTACACCACAGAAGGAGCTCTTAGGACTGTACCAACTTTAGTACCAATCTCTAGGGAAACTACTAGTACAAGACCTGCTTCTGAAACACCGACGGCCCTTCCTCAAGAGACAACCCGAATGGGTATTACCGATTACACCACAGAAGGAGCTCCTAGAACTGTACCAACTTTAGTACCGATCTCTAGGGAAACAACCATGCCAACATCGGCTTTTGAAACAACGACGGCCGTTCCTCAAGAGACAACCCGAATGGGTATTACCGATTACACCACAGAAGGAGCTCCTAGAACTGTTCCAACTTTAGTACCCATCTCTAGGGAAACAACCATGCCAACATCGGCTTTTGAAACAACGACGGCCGTTCCTCAAGAGACAACCCGAATGGGTATTACCGATTACACCACAGAAGGAGCTCCTAGAACTGTACCAACTTTAGTACCAATCTCTAGGGAAACAACCATGCCAACATCGGCTTCTGAAACAACGACGGCCCTTCCTCAAGAGACAACCCGAATGGGTATTACCGATTACACCACAGAAGGAGCTCCTAGAACTGTTCCAACTTTAGTACCGATCTCTAGGGAAACAACCATGCCAACATCGGCTTCTGAAACAACGACGGCCCTTCCTCAAGAGACAACCCGAATGGGTATTACCGATTACACCACAGAAGGAGCTCCTAGAACTGTACCAACTTTAGTACCAATCTCTAGGGAAACTACTAGTACAACATCTGCTTCTGAAACAACGACGGCCCTTCCTCAAGAGACAACCCGAACGGTAATTACCAATTACACCACAGAAGGAGATCTTAGGACTGTACCAACTTTTGTACCAATCTCTAGGGAAACTACTAGTACAACATCTGCTTCTGAAACATCGACGGCCCTTCCTCAAGAGACAACCCGAACGGGAATTACCGATTACACCACAGAAGCAGCTCCTAGAACTGTACCAACTTTAGTACCGATCTCTAGGGAAACTACTAGTACAACATCTGCTTCTGAAACATCGACGGCCCTTCCTCAAGAGACAACCCGAACGGGAATTACCGATTACACCACAGAAGCAGCTCCTAGAACTGTACCAACTTTAGTACCGATCTCTAGGGAAACTACCAGTACAACATCTGCTTCTGAAACAACGACGGCCCTTCCTCAAGAGACAACCCGAATGGGTATTACCGATTACACCACAGAAGGAGCTCCTAGAACTGTACCAACTTTAGTACCAATCTCTAGGGAAACTACTAGTACAACATCTGCTTCTGAAACAACGACGGCCCTTCCTCAAGAGACAACCCGAATGGGAATTACCGATTACACCACAGAAGGAGCTCCTAGAACTGTACCAACTTTAGTACCGATCTCTAGGGAAACAACCATGCCAACATCGGCTTCTGAAACAACGACGGCCCTTCCTCAAGAGACAACCCGAATGGGAATTACCGATTACACCACAGAAGGAGCTCCTAGAACTGTACCAACTTTAGTACCAATCTCTAGGGAAACTACTAGTACAACATCTGCTTCTGAAACAACGACGGCCCTTCCTCAAGAGACAACCCGAATGGGAATTACCGATTACACCACAGAAGGAGCTCCTAGAACTGTACCAACTTTAGTACCGATCTCTAGGGAAACAACCATGCCAACATCGGCTTCTGAAACAACGACGGCCCTTCCTCAAGAGACAACCCGAATGGGTATTACCGATTACACCACAGAAGGAGCTCCTAGAACTGTACCAACTTTAGTACCAATCTCTAGGGAAACTACTATGTCCAACATCTGCTTCTGAAACAACGACGGCCCTTCCTCAAGAGACAACCCGAATGGGAATTACCGATTACACCACAGAAGGAGCTCCTAGAACTGTACCAACTTTAGTACCAATCTCTAGGGAAACAACCATGCCAACATCGGCTTCTGAAACAACGACGGCCCTTCCTCAAGAGACAACCCGAATGGGAATTACCGATTACACCACAGAAGGAGCTCCTAGAACTGTACCAACTTTAGTACCAATCTCTAGGGAAACAACCATGCCAACATCGGCTTCTGAAACAACGACGGCCCTTCCTCAAGAGACAACCCGAATGGGAAATACCGATTACACCACAGAAGGAGCTCCTAGAACTGTACCAACTTTAGTACCAATCTCTAGGGAAACAACCATGCCAACATCGGCTTCTGAAACAACGACGGCCCTTCCTCAAGAGACAACCCGAATGGGAATTACCGATTACACCACAGAAGGAGCTCCTAGAACTGTACCAACTTTAGTACCAATCTCTAGGGAAACAACCATGCCAACATCGGCTTCTGAAACATCGACGGCCCTTCCTCAAGAGACAACCCAAATGGGAATTACCGATTACACCACAGAAGGAGCTCCTAGAACTGTACCAACTTTAGTACCAATCTCTAGGGAAACAACCATGCCAACATCGGCTTCTGAAACAACCACGGCCCTTCCTCAAGAGACAACCCGAATGGGAATTACCGATTACACCACAGAAGGAGCTCCTAGAACTGTACCAACTTTAGTACCAATCTCTAGGGAAACAACCATGCCAACATCGGCTTCTGAAACAACGACGGCCCTTCCTCAAGAGACAACCCGAATGGGTATTACCGATTACACCACAGAAGGAGCTCCTAGAACTGTACCAACTTTAGTACCAATCTCTAGGGAAACAACCATGCCAACATCGGCTTCTGAAACAACGACGGCCCTTCCTCAAGAGACAACCCGAATGGGAATTACCGATTACACCACAGAAGGAGCTCTTAGGACTGTACCAACTTTAGTACCAATCTCTAGGGAAACTACTAGTACAACATCGGCTTCTGAAACAACGACGGGCCTTCCTCAAGAGACAACCCGAATGGGTATTACCGATTACACCACAGAAGGAGCTCCTAGAACTGTACCAACTGTAGTACCGATCTCTAGGGAAACTACTAGTACAACATCTGCTTCTGAAACAACGACGGACCTTCCTCAAGAGACAACCCGAAAGGGAATTGCCGATTACACCACAGAAGGCGCCCTTAGAAGTATGCCAACTGTAGTACCAATCTCTAGGGAAACTACCATGCCAGTCTCTGCTTCGGAAACAACCACAGCTTTTCCACAAGAAACTACTCGATTGGTAATGACCGATTACACGACAGAAGAATCGGCAAGACCTTTGCCAACTCTTAGTCCATCCAATAGATCCACCATACCATCTGCTTCAAAGGAAACAGATCCCCCTTCTTTGTCGGTAGTGACGCCTGGTTCGGCGGTTAGTTTGCCAAATAGCACCGATAGATTTGTGACTGATGCTCCGGAAATTAAATGTATGACCGAAGACGACTGTTCTGACGATGAGACCTGTGTGGCAGGCATATGCATATCACCTTGTGAGTACTATCAAAATGTTTGCACTGTGCTAAATTTGACTATCTGTCGCACATTGAACCACACTACAATGTGCTTTTGTGATTCCGCCGCTGATGTAAATAGACCCGATTGCTCTATGAAAGCAGGTAACTAAAGTTGTGTATATAAGTTGTAAGTCTTGATATCGAATCATAAATGAATGAAGTGCAAGGAACCACAGGGTTGCGGTATCGTGGCGTCGACTACTTTCAACGCCAATACATATAACTGGCAAATCGTAGTAGCCTACTTCAATCTATCTCTTCTCTTGGATTTCCAGCCATTATCCCTCTCTACTTGTGGCATATACTCCTATATTTATGTTCATGTATGAGCAGCCATCCGATTTTGTGGGGGCACGTGCATGCTACCATTTGTTTTATTATTCCTCGCAATACCCCGCGTGTGTTCTTTGTGCCTTTGCGGTTATCATGCGCTACTTCTTCCTTCACATTTGTCTCCACTCCCCTTCTCGTACTGCTTCTCTTTTGGCTGTCCTTCGTTCAACGTTTTTGCACCGAATCAATACACCCACCCACCCACCAATCAATCAATCAATCAATCTTCTTCACCACCAGCTGCAATATTACACCTGAGATAGTTCGAACTGGCCTTTGAATGCCAATCCATTGGAGTTCTCCTCACCGTTTAGCGTTCAGCTGTTCAGTTTGCATGTCCTTTCAATGTTTGCAATGTTGCCCGTTCATGTTTTAGAGTTGCCTGCCTGTCATCTGCCTGCCTGCTGCAAATCTCATCAAATCAAATCCAAATCCTTTGTCATCATCTTGAATGTTTATCGTTATCGTTATGTTCTTTTCTGGAATTGTCATTTCCACTCGCATGTTCCCTCTCTCTCTCTCTCACTCGGCGTGACGACACCTCTTCAATTTTTTGTGTGTTTTAATCTGTGTTGACTTTTGTTGTATTTAGTACATATACTCGTTTTAGTTGAACATTATCATGTACCGTAAGTGTATCCGACTGTATTAGCTGCATGTGGTTGATGGATTACTAATTTATAACAATACCTTAAAAAACAACCCTAGTATAGAAATGGATATTGTATGAAATAGTATTTAAAATAAATGCACTAACCCCCTAATGCTTTTGCATGTGTATATGTTGTTTGAGGCAACAGCTTACAACTAAAATATAATACATATATGTGTATTTAACTAATGGATAATGCCTGCTAGTATTTAATAATTGAGACTAAAGAACAAATATTGAAAATAGAAGAATTCTACTACTAACTGCATTGAAATGAATTAATGAAAGAGAAACTACCTACCGAACAGGATTCTTGACCAAAGGAATGACTTAAATTTTAACGACCAATATATTAATGCACGTGTGTGCCAACAACTATAAGTTGTTTCTAGACGAACCCAACTAATCGCATTCATCTCTGGCACCAACAGAAATCGGTTGTGCATCGAGTGATGAGTGCCCCACCCAGCAGGCGTGCATCAATGCGCTTTGCGTGGATCCCTGTACCTACAGTAATCCCTGCAGTCGTACCGAGGATTGTCGTGTTCTCAACCATCAGCCTTTGTGCTCTGCAGGTATGTGTCTTCTTCCAGCCAAAATCGAAAACTTTTCTTAGTTTAAATTTAAATAATGCATAATGCTATTGAATTTTCGGCAGAAATGGGTCGCACTCCTGGCTGCGAGCATTGTCCACCGGGTGCCAATTGCGATCCCACCACTGGTGCTTGTATCAAGGGTAAGTCCTCTTCGCCAAAGTTCTAGCCAATTAATACTAAATACTTAACACTTAACGTGTAAATACAATGTGTACATACATATATGTCTAATATAAAATAACCTCCCGGTTACCCGTGTAAATACCCGTCTCTCTCCTTAGCTAATGTAACAATAACTACTAGTACTACCAAGAAATCAAGAACAACCAAGAGACCAACACCAACACCAAGAACAACTACAACCAGAACCACAACCACAACAACTGCTAACCCAAACACAGGTGTCAAAGCACCGACACCGACCACCACCACCACTACCTCTACTAGCACTGAATCGAGCACAGCATCCACAAGCGCTACTAACCAAACAACCAGTACCAGTAAGAGTAAACCAGCAGATACCGAAAGCACAACATCCCATACGGATGCCACAAGGCGGTACCGTGATGGTGAGAACAATATAACCGATACACCGACGGCAAGGCCATCGGTGGCAACGACCAAGCTGCGTGGTGAAGACGTGGATGGCGACAGTCAACGGCGCACCACAACGACGCCAAAGATGAAGACCACGCGTCTGGATACATCCAATGAAGTGCCCGATACGACAACGAACTGGCCGATCGAGCTGCCAACCACTGATGGCACCACAACGGAGATCTACAGCACAATAATTGTCCCACTGGGGGACAACAACGGCACAACCACCACTGACATCTCATTAATTAACCCATGTACAGTAGATACTAACTGTGCCCCTAACGAGCACTGTAAGCTGGGCAATTGCCGTAAGAAAGGTATATTTATTTACCATTTTTATAAGTGAAATGCAAGCCACTTTGGGATCTCTTCCCAGCACACACATTATGCATAGATCTGCAGGAATTCACCACATGGGAGTTTTTATGCTCAAAATTCAAAAGATGAAAACTCGAATGAATGCACCTGAAATTGTGTGCTCATTTTCAACAAAAAAGTGAATTAAATGTCTTAGCCGAAGAGATTCGAATTACTCGAATTATTGTGCGTCCATATTGTGTGTTCTTTTGTGGCTAAATTATTTATTTCATTCTTCTTTTCCAACAATAATTAAAAATTTACTTACTTTACATACAAAAATCAAATACCAGAAAAATTAAGCATTCGAATGAATTATGTCCATGATGCCTTCTATTTTGGTCATTTTTGATTCAAATGTCAGGTTTTGCCATTCAAGCAGTCCTCAAATTAAACGATTGCGAATAAAAGCGCATAAAGAGAGCTTAAAGAGCTCAGCTCATTCACCATTTATACCCATTTACATGGACTAACGCGTGATGCAAATGAATTCCACTTTACAAACTTATTTGTTTGAAATATTTTTAAGAGACTGAAGCTGGCTTCGATGCCTTCCATTCTAATGGTATTCAATTTTGAGTGCATTCTTGCAGATCTCTGACACACAACTCACTCTTCGACACTGTACCTAATAATTTAATGTTCAAAAAAAGATCCCAAAGTGGCAAGAGAGCATATTGTACATATAAATAATATATACATAAATACTTATGTATAGGGCTTGTTTTTTTGATCTGGAATATTACCAAATAATTTTGTAAAAATTGTACATACCTTAGCCATAGCCCCTGTACATATTATTGCAGTCATTTAATACCATTTTAAAAAACCTTCATCAATTAATTTAACGCCTTTAACTCACTAAATCCTTTCTAACAAGTAGAGCCACCGGGTACACCAAAAACACCAGAGCCCTGCCAATCGAACAACGATTGCATTGAGAGCGAGGCCTGCTATATGGGTCTGTGTCAGGATCCGTGCGAATTTGCCAAGATATGTGCCGCGAGTGCCAAGTGTACGGCCAAGAGTCATCGACCCATATGCACCTGTCCGCAGGGACACGAGGGCAATCCGATGGTCAAGTGTGTGCCCACCGAAACCTCAAGTAAGGCACTAAACAAATTAATCAATTAAACAATTATTTAAAAAAATGGAATTAACTTAACGAGGGATAAATATTTTGTGTATAGATATTTGTGTCTGACATATGTTAATAAAATTCATTCACTTTCCAGTTGAATGCACAGACAATTCCGACTGCGGAGTCACGGAGGCTTGCATCAATCAGAGATGCCAGCATCCATGCGATGTGCATGATCCCTGTGCCACGAATGCCATTTGCATCAACACCCACCATGAGGCCGACTGCAGTTGTGCCGATGGCTACCAGGGCAATGGACGTGTCGGCTGTCAGCCAGGTTAGTATCCGTTAAAGAGCTATAGCAGCAGCACACAGTATATGGCACATTTCTGTTGTCCTCCAAGGAGTCCTTTGCTAATCTTACACATCGTTTCGTTTCCCAAAACGCTCTCTCTTTCATAAACACTGTACAAATACCCGTACACCACGTATACACCATGTATAAAACTTGTACCGTCCCGACACCTCAACTATAAATACACCCACAACCGTACAACCCGAATCTCGCACCCGTAATCGTAACCCAAAACAATAGCACGCACCAATGTCTGCCAATACAACGAGGACTGTCCACCGACGAAGCTCTGCGATCGCCTCAATCGTCGCTGCATCAATCCCTGTCAAGAGGATTCCTGTGGCGAGAATGCCGAGTGTGTGCCCATCAACCACGGCACCGATTGTCGCTGCCTGCCCGGCTTCCTGGGCAATGCCTATGTGCAGTGTTCGCCGCTCCAGGGATGTCGTGCCGACACCGAGTGCGATTCTAGTCAGGCCTGCATCAATGGAAAGTGTGCATCGCCCTGCCAGTGCGGCGCCTTTGCCCTGTGCGATGTGATCAATCATCGTGGGGTGTGCAAGTGCCCGCCTGGATACAATGGAAATCCCCAGGTGGGCTGCAGTCCACCGCAGAATCCCTGCGATCCCAATCCCTGTGGCCTCAGTGCGCTGTGCGAACTGGACAATGGCAATCCCATTTGTTATTGTCCCAAGGGACTCACTGGAAATCCATTCAAGAATTGCAGTAAGTATTCATTAAGGATTACCTATCAACAAAAATACTAACTACTCTTGATGATGCAGTCCCAGAGGGCGATGAATGCGCACCGAATCCATGCGGACCCAATTCCGGATGTCGTCGCGTGGATGGACAACCCATCTGCTTCTGCCTGCCCGAATACGAGGGCCAGCCACCGGCGATAGCCTGCGAGCTGCCATCGAACCCATGCGAACCGTCGTCATGCGGCCCCAACACACAGTGTTCTGTCCTGAGCAACGGCTTCTCCAAGTGCACCTGCCTGCCGGGTTACGTGGAGAGCCCGAACACCATTCGTGGCTGTGTGGAGCCCATCAATCCGTGCGATCCCAGCCCTTGCGGCACTGGTGCCATCTGCGACTCGTCGCGTCAGCCCGTGTGCTATTGTCCCGACAACAAGATTGGAAATCCCTTCAGGCTGTGCGAGAAGCCCGCGGTATCGATCGAACTCTGCCAGCCAGGTCCTTGCGGCCGGAATGCCGACTGCTATGTGGCCGGCAATCGTGAGGAATGCTACTGCCGCTCTGGATATGTCGGCGATGCCTACCAAGGCTGCCGCGAGCCCAGTCGCACCGTCTGTGACCCGAATCCGTGCGGACCTAGTGCCAATTGCGTTGTGGCCGGCGATGGACAGACCGCCTGCGTGTGTCCCGAAGGTCTCTCCGGGGACCCCACATCTCTCGTGGGCTGTCACGGCTATGAGTGCCAGGTGGATGCCGATTGTCCGCACAGCAAAGCCTGCATGGGCTTCCGCTGCTACGATCCCTGCCCCGGAGCTTGCGGCCATGGAGCCAACTGCCGCGTTGAGGAGCATCACCCCGTGTGCTCGTGCAATGCTGGCTTGACCGGAAACCCAGGAGTCCGTTGCTATGCCCTGGACCATCCGAAGACCAATCCGTGTGTGCCCAGTCCCTGTGGCGTCAATAGCGAGTGCAAGCTGCTGAACAACCGCGCCGTCTGCTCCTGCATTCCCGGCTACCTGGGCGATCCAGAGTCGGGCTGCCAGCCGGAGTGTGACATCAACTCGGACTGCGGCGAGACCCTGTCGTGCATCAACCACAAGTGCGTGGATCCCTGTGCGGGAGCCATTTGCGGCATCAATGCCATTTGCAATGTCCGCCAGCATACGCCCGTGTGCCATTGCCTGGACGGATTCGCCGGCGATGCCTTCCTGCAGTGCGTGCCGATCGGCATCTTGAAGAACGTCTCCCGAGACCCGTGTGCCCCGTCGCCCTGTGGACCGCACGACGTCTGCTCGGTCTATGGCGATGGTGTGGCATTGTGTGATCCCTGCTTTGGACCCAATGCCCAGCAGAATCCCCGCTGCCGACCGGAATGTGTGGCCAACTCCGACTGCCCCTTCGATCGTGCCTGTTTGGGCCAGCGCTGCCTCGATCCCTGCCCCGGCTCCTGCGGTCGCAACGCCATCTGCAATGTGTACGAACATAATCCGGTGTGCTCCTGCCCCGCGGGACTCTATGGCAATCCCTACGAGCAGTGCACCATTCAATCGGCTATTGTGCCAACGCCAGCGCCAAGCTGCGCGAAGCTGCAGTGCGGCGGCAATGCGGAATGCAAGCGGGCCCCCGGTGGCCTCGCCTGCGTCTGCCGCAAGGGCTACTTTGGCGATCCACATGTCGGCTGTCGCCCAGAGTGCGTACTCAATAGCGACTGTCCCGCGGACAAGGCCTGCGTGAACTCCAAGTGCGTGGAGGCCTGTGTCGGCGTGTGCGGCATCAATGCCATCTGCCGTGTGGTGAACCATGCCCCGGTGTGCATCTGCTCGGAGGGTTACAGTGGAGATGCCTCCATTGCCTGCAATCCCTACTATCTGCCACCCGTTTCACCGCCCATTGAGCGGCCACATCCGTGCGAACCCTCGCCCTGCGGTCCCAATTCCCGCTGCCTGGCCACCTCCGAGGGCTATGCTGCCTGCTCCTGCCTGCCGAACTTCAAGGGTGCCCCGCCCGTCTGCCAGCCCGAGTGCGTCGTCAGCTCTGAGTGTGCCCCCAACCAGGCCTGCCTCAATCAGAGATGCGCGGATCCCTGTCCCGGCATCTGCGGTGTTGGCGCCCGCTGCGAGGTGCTCAATCACAATCCCATTTGCTCGTGCGAGCAAAAATTCGAGGGAGATCCGTTCGTTGCCTGCTCGCCCATACCCGGAGCCGGGACGCGAGGTGGATCTGCCCAAGAATCCGTGCGTGCCCTCGCCCTGTGGACCCAACTCTATATGCCAGATCAAACAGAACCGACCCGTCTGCTCGTGTGTGGCCAACTACATCGGCAGCCCGCCCTATTGCCGGCCAGAGTGCACCCTGAGCAGCGAGTGTCCCTCGGACAAGGCCTGCATCCATGAGAAGTGCCAGAACCCGTGCGCCAATGTCTGTGGCCACAATGCCCGTTGCACGGTCATCGCGCACTCAGCCCACTGCAGCTGCGACCAGGGCTACGAGGGAGATGCCTTCATCGGCTGCTCCCAGACAAAGGAAGAGAGTAAGTCCGATATCTAATCTTTCCTGTACCCTGTATATCTAATCCTCAATCCACACAGAATCCGGTGATGACTTTGGACCCTGCTATCCCAATCCCTGTGCTGAGAATGCCGTGTGCACCCCGCACAACAATGCCGCTCGCTGTAGCTGCATTGAGCCGTACTTTGGCGATCCGTACAGCACTGGATGCCGTCCCGAATGTATCTACAGCTCGGAATGCCCCTCGTCGCTGGCCTGCATCAAGCAGCACTGTCGCAATCCCTGCACCGGTGCCTGTGGCGCCAATGCCGAGTGTGCGGTGGTTAACCACCTGCCATCCTGCATCTGTTCGCGTGGCCACGAGGGCGATCCGTTCGTGGGCTGCAAGCGCATGCCCGTGGGACCTGTGAGCGTCTGCGAGCCGAATCCATGTGGCCCCAACAGCATCTGCCGTACGGTGGAGGGCCATCCCACGTGCAGCTGTCATGTTGGCTACTTCGGTGCCCCGCCCCAGTGCCGGCCCGAGTGCGTCGTCAGCTCGGAGTGCGCCCAACATTTGGCGTGCATCAACCAGAAGTGTGCCGATCCCTGTGCCGAAACCTGCGGCTTCAATGCCAAGTGTCAAGTGAACAACCACAATCCGATATGCTCCTGTCCCAGAGACTACATAGGCGATCCCTTCGAGCAATGTGTGCCGAAACGTAAGTCCAAATTAAACCCCAATCGAAGCTCACTCTAACCCACACTCTTGCGGCTTCCTGCAGCATCTGAACGCCCACAAACTTTGGATCCCTGCCTGCCCAGTCCATGTGGACCCAATGCCAATTGTCGGAATGTGAACAATCGCGCTGAATGCGCCTGTGCCCAGGGCATGTTCGGTGCCCCGCCGAGCTGCCGACCGGAGTGCGTTATCAATCAGGATTGTCCATCGAACCGGGCTTGCATTCGACAACGATGCGAGGATCCTTGCATTGGCATTTGTGGCTTCAATGCCCAGTGCTCCACACAGCAGTATCAGCCCAAGTGCGCTTGCATTGAGGGCTTCGAGGGCGACCCGTACACCGGTTGCAACATGCGAGAGAGTGAGTACACCTCTTCCAGACTATTTGCTATCCTTTCCGAGAGCGCAGCAGGCTGCCTGCTCGTAATGTTACATGTTCCTTTCAGTGGTGCTCTAGACGTAAATGGCTTTTGGTTTACATTTGTTTATGCATGTTCCTTGTATTATGTACATTTCTGTAGCATCCATCCTAGCTTTAAGTCTACTGTGTTTGTATCCACATCCTGTATCTATATCTATATCCATTCCTATACCTGCTTGCTATGATAGTCGTGGTCCTGGACCAACCCGCCGATCCATGTCACCCATCCCCATGCGGTGCGAATGCCATCTGTCGCGAACGCAACGGTGCTGGTTCCTGCAGCTGCATCCAGAACTATTTCGGTGATCCGTACATTAACTGCCGCCCCGAGTGCGTGCAGAACAGTGACTGCCCCGCCAGCAGGTCCTGCATCAACATGAAGTGTCGCGATCCCTGCGAAAATGCCTGTGGCTTCAATGCCATCTGCCGTGTGGCCCATCACCAGGCTGTGTGTAGCTGTGAGCCCGGTTTCACCGGCAATCCACAACGCGCCTGCGTCGAACGTCCCTCAAGTATGCCCAACCAACCAGCTCTTGGTCCCCAACTTAGTCCTCTCTAAATGCTATATGCCCATCCTCTCCTCAGATATGTACCTGCCCTTGCCCAAAGACCCCTGTAGACCATCGCCCTGTGGCTTGTTTAGCACTTGCCACGTGGCTGGAGATCATCCCGTTTGCGCTTGCCTGCCGGACTACCTGGGCGTTCCGCCCAACTGCAAGCCCGAGTGCCGCACAAGTGGCGAATGTCCCTCGGACAGGGCGTGCATCAATCAACGTTGCCGCGATCCCTGCCCCGGCACCTGTGGCTACAATGCGCGTTGTCGCTGCACGAATCATTCCCCCATTTGTAGCTGCATTGATGGCTACACCGGTGATCCGTTCCACCAGTGTCTGCCCGAAAGAAGTAGGTTTCCCGCTGTCCGAATTTCTCCCTTGGATAGCGTCTCAAATTGAAATGTCGTATGTTTGTAGAACCGGCGCCAATACCAGACCCCATCGTGCCTATGAATCCCTGCGTGCCATCGCCCTGCGGCCCCAACTCCCAGTGCCAGGTGGCCAGCACCGGAGCCGTGTGCTCCTGCGTGGCCAACTACATTGGACGTCCGCCGGCCTGCCGGCCAGAGTGCAGCATCAATTCGGAGTGCCCCGCCCGGATGGCCTGTATGAATGCGCGTTGCGCCGACCCGTGCATCGGTTCCTGCGGCAACAATGCCCTCTGTCACGTCAGCCAGCATGCGCCGGTGTGCATGTGCGAGCCCGGCTTCAGTGGCGACCCCTTCTCCGGCTGCTACAAGATCTTAGAAAGTAGGTCCTTCTGGGGAAATGCCCACAGCAGGTGTTCAAAAAATACTCAAACCCCTCCATTTCTGTGCCACATAGCGCCCATTGAGGTCTCTCAGCCCTGTCGTCCCAGTCCTTGCGGCTTGAATGCCTTGTGCGAGGAGCGAAATCGCGCTGCTGCCTGCAAGTGTCTGCCCGAGTACTTTGGGGATCCGTACACCGAGTGTCGCCCCGAGTGCGTCATCAATTCGGACTGCCCCAAGTCGCGGGCCTGCGTCAATCAGCGATGCGTCGATCCCTGTCCCGGCATGTGCGGTCACAGCGCCCTCTGCGCCGTCTTCAATCATGCGCCCAACTGTGAGTGCCTGCCCGGCTACACGGGCAACCCCATTGTCGGCTGTCACCTGGTGCCCGAGACGCCACGCTGTAAGACCCAACCCAAAAGTTAGGCCCCCACTTGAAGCAATACTAATTGTCGTCCTGCCCGATCTAGATCCCGACCCCATAGTACCCGAAAATCCATGCCAACCCTCGCCCTGCGGCCTCTACAGCATCTGTCGCCCGGTCAATGGCCATGCTGTGTGCTCCTGTGTGCCCAACTACATTGGCTCGCCGCCCAACTGCCGGCCCGAGTGCATGAGCAGCTCGGAGTGTGCACAGGACAAGTCGTGTCTGAACGAGCGGTGCAAAGATCCCTGCCCGGGCACCTGTGGCAACAATGCGCTCTGCCGTGTCGTTAACCATAATCCCATCTGCTCCTGCAGTCCCGGCTTCAGCGGTGATCCATTCGTGCGCTGTTTCCCACAAGAAAGTAAGAAACGGAGGCAAAACTCGAGTAGAAAGACGAAGTTTCGGCAAGCCGAAGGTTCAAATACCTTTGCAGATCCATAGAGTAGAGAGAGTCCTTTTTGAAGACTATACGACATGTTTGTCCGATTTTTATTAAATCTGAAAGGAAAATAACATAACCGACGGTCCTATACAATTTTGATAACAATAACTATTTGATCTGGACAGTCGGACAAGATTAAAAATTACGACAAGGGTCGAATATGTTAATTCCCAAATATTACATCAGCGGTGGCCACGTCCCTGCTCCCAACTTCTTCCATTTCTCTGAGATTTGTTCTTCGACATACATGTCGTGTGCATGACAGAATATATATTTTTCGACAATTGCAAAAAGCAAAAAGTACAAGCGAAAAGTAAAAAAGAAAAAATATATATGTCCATTTACATGTCGTGCACATGACTACATTCGACCATTAATATTCGATTAAAATTAAATTAAACTAGTCGGACTGTAGAGACACACGTGCCTCGACATAATGACACTCTGGTAATCAGGCTGGGGCATACACTAGTCCCTAATCCTGTTAGGGAAGGAGGAGCTATTATGAAGAGTACAAATCTGAATTGGCAGAGAGCCAACGGGGGAAATAGGCTACATTATTCTCGTACATTCATCTGCAAGGGTATAGAAACCGAAATGATCTCTCATCATCGCCCATCAACGGAAGTGCCCCTCAAGTACTTTCTCCATTTCATTCCATGCTTGACATCATCCTCTCCTTATACTTGTATACTATATCTTTACCTTATTATCTCTTTTATTATGTACTCTATCTTATGGCTTATCTTTGTGCATGCTGTTATCATATTTGTGGTGTCCTGGTGTCGTGGTGTGATGGTACATTTAGAACGGCCCATCGTTCATGATCGCGTCGAGCCGTGCGCGCCCTCGCCCTGTGGGCCAAACTCTCAGTGTCGGGTGTCGGCGGCTAATGAGCAGCCCGTCTGCTCATGCTTGCAACATTATGTGGGTAGGGCGCCAAATTGCCGACCCGAGTGCACCTCAAATTCGGAGTGTGCCGGCAACTTGGCCTGCATCAATCTGCGCTGCCGGGATCCCTGCGTGGGTACCTGCGGCAGTCAGACCACATGTCTTGTAAATAATCATAGACCGATCTGCCGCTGCCTCGATGGCTATGCGGGCGATCCGTTCTCCGAGTGTAGTCCACAAAGTAAGGGTCAAGGTCAACGTCATTGCCCCACATTGCTAAACCGCCACCCCTTTCCCCACTTCATTCATTCAGTTATCGTACCGCCCGAGGTGGCCCAGCCCTGCAACCCCAGTCCCTGCGGCGCCAATGCGGTGTGCAACGAGCGCAACGGCGTCGGCTCCTGTTCCTGCCTGCCCGAATACAGTGGCGATCCGTACACCGAATGCCGGCCGGAGTGTGTCCTGAACAGCGACTGCTCGAAGAATCGCGCCTGCCTCAACAACAAGTGCCGCGATCCCTGCCCCGGCGTTTGCGGCGTCTCCGCCGAGTGTCATGTGATTAACCACGGGCCCAGCTGCAGCTGCCCCTCCGGATACACGGGCAATCCGTCGCAGTACTGCCGGGAAATACCAAAATGTAGGGTCCATCTTTTGTCTCACGTTCTCCCGAAACAACTCAGTTCAACGCATTTTATTTCCCCTATGAATATTTTAGTGGCCCCGCCTGTCCAGCCATGTCGCCCGTCGCCATGCGGCCCTTACAGCCAGTGCCGCGAGGTGAACGGACATGCGGTCTGCTCGTGCACCACCAACTATGTGGGCACTCCGCCCGCCTGTCGACCAGAGTGCTCGGTCAGTTCCGAGTGCTCCCAAGACCGGGCTTGTGTGAACCTGCGCTGTGTAGACCCCTGTCCCGGAACCTGCGGCCACGAGGCCATTTGCAAGGTCACCAACCACAATCCCATCTGCTCGTGCCCCAGTGGCTACACGGGCGATCCGTTTGTGCGCTGCGCCCCACGGCAACAAGAACCGGAACAGCCCAAGTCCAATGAGAATCCCTGCGTGCCCAGTCCCTGCGGTCGCAACTCCCAGTGCCGCGTCGTGGGCGAGACTGGCGTCTGTTCCTGTCTGCCCAACTTCGTGGGCCGTGCCCCCAACTGCCGACCAGAGTGTACCCTCAATTCCGAGTGCCCGGCCAACCTGGCGTGCATCAATGAGCGTTGCACAGACCCGTGTCCGGGCTCGTGCGGCTTCAATGCCTACTGCAGTGTCGTTGGCCACTCGCCCATCTGCTCGTGCGACAATGGCTTCACTGGCGATCCCTTCGCTGGCTGCAATCCGCAACGTAAGCGCCTTCACTTCGAAGCTCTCCCCCAGACCCCGTTTGATATGCGTCCTAATCTCGTTTCGTCTGTGACCTGCAGCCTTGCCCGAATCCGATGAACGCCTGACACCCTGCCAACCCTCGCCCTGCGGCCCCAATGCCGAATGCCGTGAACGCAACGGCGCCGGCTCCTGTACGTGTCTGCCGGAGTACTTTGGCGATCCGTACAGTGGCTGTCGACCCGAGTGCGTGGTGAATAGCGATTGCTCGCGCGACAAGTCGTGCGTCAACCAGAAATGCGCGGACCCATGTCCGGGCGTTTGTGGCCTGAACGCCGAGTGTCGTGTGTCCAATCACTTGCCCAGCTGCTCCTGCCTGGCCGGCTACACTGGAAATCCGTCGAGTGCATGCCGTGAAATACCCCAACTCCCGCCACCACGTAGGTGTACCCTGCCGAAATCACGAAATGAAACAAAATCGATTAAAACCCAACTAAATCCCCATTCAACCCCCCAGCCCTGGCCGATGTGAATCCGTGTAGACCCTCGCCCTGCGGCCCGTACAGCCAGTGTCGGGAGATCAATAACCATGCCGTGTGCTCTTGCCAGCCCGGACTCGTTGGCTCTGCCCCCAACTGTCGGCCCGAGTGTATCATAAGCTCCGATTGTGCCCAAGATCTCAACTGTCAGAATCAGAAGTGTGTGGACCCGTGTCCGGGCACATGCGGCATTGAGGCACGTTGCCAGGTTATAAATCACTATCCTGCATGCTCCTGTGCCCCAGGCTACACTGGAGATCCCTTCAATCGATGCACTAAAATATTGTGTAAGCATGTTTCGAAGTCCCTCCATACGAAGGTGGTGCAAGCCAATTGGAGGATGTCAGATCCAACCAGTTGGGTTGCACTGCCTTAAGCACGGTTGCCATTTAGAAATTAAATATATAAAATCCCAGAAATCTTTCATAGATTACAGAACACGTGGAAGATGATATTCATAAAGAAAACAAATGTAGAAGCCGTTTGCCTAACGGCGAACAAGTAGCGCTCTCAGCTCTCATTCTCTTCGTTTGATTTCGTTCTCTTGCTTGTCGTACCGAGAGCTTACTCTCTCGCAGCTGACACTCGCTCTCATTCTCTGTGTTGACATCTCGTTTCCAGTGTTCTATAATCTTCAATTCTACTTTTATGTAATTGGTATTAAAATGAATACCCTTTCTGGTGTGTTAATGGCAACCGTGTGTCTCGATACTCCCCTTCCTTCCTCTTGCATGTATTATACACTCTTTACTTTAATGTTTTTATTTTTCTATTTCTCTATTTTATGTTTTTTGTGATTTTATGTACACTATGTAAACTACTATCCATCCAACTCCAACTCCAATCTATCTCCGATCTATTCGACTACCGTACCGTACCTACCTATGTAATTGTTTTGTGTAAATTGTGTGTGTTATGGCATGGATATATTGACTATCGGCTATTGGCTATTTGGCTATGTGTAGTGGAGCCCATAATACCCGAAAAATCCGGTAATCCCTGTGTACCCTCACCGTGCGGACCCAACTCGAAATGCATCGATGTGCGCGGTTCGCCTGCATGCTCCTGTCTGCCGGACTACCTCGGACGGCCGCCAAACTGCCGGCCCGAGTGCATGAGTAGTGCCGACTGTCCGGCGAACCTTGCCTGTGTCAATCAGCGCTGCGCAGATCCGTGTATTGGAGCTTGTGGCCAGAACTCCCTGTGCCAGGTGATCAAGCATCGTCCAACATGCGAATGCGTGCCTGGTTACACCGGCGATCCGTTCTCCGGCTGTGCGATTGTACAGCAAAGTATATATCAATTGCATGCCAACGCATATACCTTTTCATCCCCCACTCACTGCCCGACTTTTGCATTATTTTCTTTCCCGTATAGTTACCCCAACGGAGGCGCCACGCAATCCCTGCAATCCCAGTCCGTGCGGCGCCAATGCCGTGTGCCGGGAGCGCAACAGCGCCGGCTCCTGCACCTGTCTGCCCGAATACTTTGGCGATCCGTACAGTGGCTGCCGACCGGAATGTGTCCAGAACGATGACTGCGATCGCTCCCGTGCCTGCATCAACAGCAAGTGCCAGGACCCCTGTCCCGGTGCCTGCGGCATCAATGCCGAGTGCCGTGTCCTCAACCATGGTCCCAACTGCAACTGCTTCGACGGCTACACCGGCGATCCGCATCGCTCGTGCGCCCTCATTGAAGTGGTCACACGACGGCCGGAGAACCCGTGCCAGCCCTCGCCCTGTGGACCCTACAGCCAGTGCCTGGACACGAACAGCCATGCGGTGTGCTCCTGCCTGGAAGGCTACACCGGAGCGCCACCCAGCTGCAAGCCGGAATGTGTCGTCAGCTCGGAGTGCCCCCAGAATCGGGCGTGCATCAATCAGAAGTGCGCCGATCCGTGTCGCGGCTCCTGCGGCAACAATGCCAAGTGCCAGGTGGTGAACCACAATCCCATCTGCAGCTGTGTGCCCGGCATGACCGGCGATCCCATCAGCGGCTGTTCACCCAGCGAAGACGGCAAGAGCACGGACAACCCGTGTGTGCCCTCGCCCTGTGGCCCCAACTCCGTGTGCCGCGAGATCGGAAACCAAGCGGCCTGCTCCTGCAATGCCAACTTCATTGGACGTCCGCCCAACTGCCGGCCAGAGTGCACCAACAACGACGAGTGCCAGAATCATCTGTCCTGCCAGCAGGAGCGCTGCGTCGATCCCTGCCCGGGCTCTTGCGGCAGCAATGCCGTCTGTCAGGTGGTGCAGCACAATGCCGTCTGCTCCTGTGCCGATGGCTACGAGGGCGAGCCGCTCTTTGGCTGCCAGCTGATTCCCCTGCTCCTGCCCACCGAGGCGCCCACATCGCCATGCGAACCGTCGCCCTGCGGCCCCCATGCCGAGTGCCGCGAACGCAACGGAGCCGGCGCCTGCTACTGCCACGAGGGCTTCGAGGGCAATCCCTACGATGCCCAGCGCGGCTGCCGACGCGAATGCGAGATCAACGATGAGTGCACGGCCGCCCAGGCGTGTGTCCGCTTCAAGTGTATCGATCCGTGCGACAATATGTGCGGAGAGTACGCTCTCTGTACGGTCGATAACCACGTGCCCACATGCAACTGTCCGGCCGGCTACAGCGGAGATCCGTTCTTCAGCTGCAAGCCCGTGCCGGTTACCCCCCGGCCAGCACTCAACCCGTGCAATCCCTCGCCCTGCGGCCCCAACAGCAACTGCCGCAGCATCAACAACCAGGCCGTGTGCTCCTGCCAGTCGGGCTTCGTCAATCAGCCGCCCAACTGCCGACCCGAGTGCATAGTCAGTGCGGAGTGTGCCCCGGAACGGGCCTGTGTGAACAAGAAGTGCGTGGACCCTTGCCTGCACACCTGCGGCATTCGGGCCATCTGCAGCACCAAGAACCACAGCCCCATCTGCACCTGCCCGCGCGGCATGACCGGCGATCCCTTCGTGCAGTGCACCAGAATACGTGAGTATACGACAAATGAATGCGAGAGATTCAAAGTTCTAAAGCCTATTCTATTGTACAGCCATAACACACGATGTGACGACACCAGAGCCACCAGCGGCATCCTGTGTGCCCTCGCCCTGCGGTCCCAATGCCAAATGCCAGATTGTGGGCAATAGTCCGGCCTGCTCCTGCCTGCCCAACTTTATTGGCGCCCCACCGCGTTGCCGGCCGGAATGTGTCCTCAACTCCGAGTGTGGGCCCACGGAGGCGTGCATCAATCAGAAGTGCGGCGATCCGTGCTCTGGCTCCTGCGGCTTCGAGGCCAAGTGCCATGTGCTGAATCACCTGCCCATTTGCAACTGCATCGAGGGCTACGAGGGCGATCCGTTTGTGCGCTGCACCGAGAAACCCGAGGGCAAGACCCCGCCGCCTGTCATCAACGATCCGTGCAACCCGAGTCCCTGTGGCCCGAACGCCGACTGCTTTGCCGGCGAGTGCCGCTGCCAGAACAACTATCAAGGAAACGCCTACGAGGGCTGTCGACCCGAGTGCACCCTCTCGGCGGACTGCTCGCGGGACAAGGCGTGCATGCGCAACAAGTGTGTGGATCCCTGCCCCGGCATCTGTGGCAACAATGCCGTGTGCGAGGTGATGAACCACATACCAGTGTGCTCGTGCCTGCAGGGCTACGAGGGCGATCCGTTTACCAATTGCCGTGTGAAGCCCATCGAAGATACACCCAAGCCCCAGGCCTGTGCGCCGTCGCCATGCGGATCGAACAGCCAGTGCCGCGATGTCAACGGACATGCCGTCTGCTCCTGCCTGCAGGGATACATTGGGGCGCCGCCCCAATGCCGTCCCGAGTGCGTTGTCTCCAGTGAATGCTCTGCCCTGCAGGCGTGTGTCAACAAGAAGTGCGTGGATCCCTGCGCCGCTGCTTGTGGTCTGGAGGCACGCTGCGAGGTCATCAACCACAGCCCCATCTGTGGCTGCCCGCCTGGCCGCACTGGAGATCCCTTCAAGCAGTGCACAGAGATCGCTGTGGCACCGCCGCCAGATGTTAAGGAAGCGCCACGAGATCCGTGTGTGCCCTCGCCCTGCGGACCCAACTCCATATGCAAGCCCGATGAGCGCGGACCCGTGTGCCAGTGCCAGCCAGAGTTCTTTGGCTCGCCGCCCAACTGCCGGCCCGAGTGCATCATCAATCCCGACTGTGCCTCGACGCAGGCCTGCATCAACAACAAGTGCCGCGATCCCTGCCCCGGCTCGTGTGGCACCAACGCTGAGTGCCGCGTCATCGGACACACGGTCTCGTGCTCCTGCCCCGTGGGCTATGCTGGCAACGCGTTTGTCCAGTGTGTGCCGCAACAGGAGGAGCCCATCAAGCCGTGCCAGCCCTCGCCCTGCGGGGCCAATGCCGAGTGCATCGAACGGAACGGCGCTGCCGCCTGCAAGTGCATCGACGAGTACCAGGGCAATCCCTACGAGGGCTGCCGACCCGAGTGCGTGCTCAGCTCCGACTGTACCACGGACAAGGCGTGCATACGGAACAAGTGCCAGGATCCCTGCCCGGGCATCTGTGGCCTGAACGCCCAGTGCTATGCCGTGAATCATGTGCCCAATTGTGTGTGCCTCGATGGCCACACGGGCGATCCGTTTGCCAACTGTCGCCGCGTGGAGCCGACAACGCCGCCGCCAGTCGCCGATCCGTGCGTACCCTCGCCCTGTGGCGCCAACAGCAAGTGCCGCATTGCCAACGGACTGGCCGTCTGCTCCTGCCTGGAGAACTTCATTGGAGCTCCGCCGAACTGCAAGCCCGAGTGCACGGTGAATGCCGAGTGCCAGCCGAACAAGGCGTGCCACAAGTTCCGCTGCGCCAATCCCTGTGCCAAGACGTGCGGCATCAATGCCAAGTGCGAGGTGATCAATCACAATCCCATCTGCAGCTGCCCCTCGGATCTGACGGGCGATCCATTCGCCCGCTGTTACCCGGCGCCAGCTATTGCCGGACCCAAGGATGCTCCTGTATCGAAGACACCCTGCCAGCCCTCGCCCTGCGGCCTCTACTCGGAGTGTCGTGTGCGCGACGAGCAGGCCTCCTGCTCCTGTCTGCCCAACTACATTGGGGCGCCGCCCAACTGCCGACCCGAGTGCATTGTGAACACGGACTGCTCCTCGAACCGCGCCTGCATTGCCGAGAAGTGTCGCGATCCCTGCGACGGCTCCTGCGGCATCAACTCCGAGTGCCGCATCCAGAACCATTTGGCCATATGCACCTGTCGCGGCGGATTCACCGGCGATCCGTTTGTCCAGTGTGTGGAGATCATTGAGACGATCACGAGGCCACCACTGAACGAACCACAGGATCCGTGCGACCTGCAGCCGTGTGGCGCCAATGCGGAATGCAACGGCGGCACCTGCACCTGCCTGCGAGACTACCAGGGCGATCCCTACACCGGCTGTCGTCCGGAGTGTACGCTGAGCACCGACTGCGCCCCCGTCAAGGCCTGCCTGAACAAGAAGTGCGTGGATCCCTGTCCGGGAGTGTGCGGCCAGAACTCGCAGTGCGATGTCTCCAACCACATACCGATCTGCAGCTGCCTGCAGGGCTACACGGGCGATCCGTTCGTGCACTGCCGCCTGGAGACGCCCGTGGCCAAGGACCCATGCCAGCCGAATCCCTGCGGTCCCAACAGCCTGTGTCATGTGTCGGCCCAAGGGCCGGTGTGTGCCTGCCAGCAGGGCATGCTGGGCTCTCCGCCCGCCTGCAAGCCGGAGTGCATTGTCAGCTCCGAGTGCTCGCTGCAAACGGCCTGCGTGCAAAGGAAGTGCGTCGATCCGTGCCCCGGCGCCTGCGGCCAGTTCGCACGCTGCCAGGTGATCAACCACAATCCATCGTGCTCCTGCAATTCAGGCTACACCGGAGATCCGTTCACGCGCTGCTTCCAGGAAGAACGCAAGCCGCCAACACCCACTGAGCCATGTCAACCATCACCCTGCGGACCCAATTCCGAGTGCAAGGTGCTCAATGGCAATGCAGCCTGCTCGTGCGCAGCCACCTTCATTGGCACACCGCCCAGCTGCCGGCCCGAGTGCTCCATCAATCCGGAATGTCCGCCGACCAAGGCTTGCATACGCCAGAAGTGTGCCGATCCCTGCGTGAATGCCTGCGGCTTCAATGCCCTCTGCAATGTGGCGAATCATCAACCCATCTGCACCTGCGATGTGGGCCACACAGGAGATCCGTTCACCGGCTGTCAAAAGGAACAAGGTAGGACCCCCGTTTTCATTTATATTTTACAACTGTTTAGTAGCTAGGCCAAGGCGTAAACCAGCTTATTATTATATTCGTGGTTTTGGTTTGCTGCTTACTGGGCGCCCAGTACAACATGCGATCTAGATCTGGAGCTTATATGCACACTGCAGACATTCGTTTACGCCTTGGATGGTCCCACCTTGAATGTGAAACTCTTAGACAAACCGCTTAATGAAAGTATCCCACCCCTCTTGAAAGTTTCACATTCGTTCTTTGCGTATTAGAATAAATGAAGTATTATTGTAAAACACAAAACTGCAATGGCAATCGCTGCAATTGCATATTCCATACATTTCAAGGCACTATTTGTTTGCACTACTTTTTTCTTACAATTCACACTAGAGGTCTGCCAGAATGTACTCTAAATGGGAGCACAAAAATGAATACACTCATTCACTGCTCCCACATGACTGGACACGCACAAATAAAGGATGGAAAAGAGAATGCGCGAGAATTTAAAAATCTGATGTTAATGCATTCATGCAGACCTCTACGTGTATGGAACACCTCACTACACGCGTTACTTGTTCTAATACGCTCCTTAGGCAGCACACAAATACATACATATATCTTCATTAAAATCTATGATTACCGCACTTACTGGCACAATGCATTGCAAAATGAAGTTTACTACACCCCCAAATCGAATACCACAAACTTTTCACTTCGATACGCAAAATGCAAATTTCAACGAGCACGCAGTCTGTACGAACTGACGGAGTGAACGTGACGCTGAAAGTGTCTGTATGCCGGGGGTAATCAAAGGTTTTAATTAGTTTTAAACTTTTAATATTGATTTTACATTATATTGCTTTTGCCCCTAACGCCTGAATATACAATATGCAAACTTGTCACGCCTTTATTTTTGCTTTCTTACCAAAAAACCAAAAACCAAAACCAAGCCGTATTTTAATGCCTCCTCTCACCACCCACCAAAAAACCAAACCTGCCTTGACTCTTGCCTTTTAACCCTTTGATGATATTGTTGTTGCCTCCGCCTTATTTTTTGGGCGGGAAACAAATCCGTTGAAATGCTTTTACCTAATTCGTTATTTGGCCCACCAAAAGACCAGTTCTCTCCACTTGCTTACTACCCCCACAACAAAAATTGAAACCTAACCCAAAAATTACCCAAAATTGAGTACTGCGTTGTTGTCTCCACCCCTACCAAACCACCAACAACAAATCTACGCTACGCCAAAGATCTAAACTAAATTCTAGTCAAACCAACTTAGAGTATTAAAATGTATAACATAAAACTGTAGTTTAACCAAAGAAATCAATAAATCCAAGGATATAACCCCTGCAATAGACACTTGTTTTACTTACGACACGCCAAAACTTATCAAAAAAAATATAATGTAACGCCATTGCAATGGCACCACCACCGCACTTACACAACACTGCCACTGGCAACGCACACACGCAGCGCACAGCGCTTAACCACACTAAGCAATGCGGTACAGCTGCACAGCGTTTAACAACACTAAATAAAGCGGAGCACTTGAAATGCAATTGCAATTGCAAATTTCGTTAACTGAAGCCAACACCTAACTCGTACTATAATCTCTATAACCACAATTGGATTAATCAGAGCCGCAAAAGCCCACGCCAGGTGTGTGTGTTTTATTGTACTAAACCCGAGATCCACTGAAGAATATTAATTACAACTCTCTGACCTCCGTTTCTCCGTCTCTCCCACTCGATCACTTTTACCCCCAAACACACACAAAATAGAACGCATTGTCAATGAACAGGTGACGCCCTGCGAACCCAATCCCTGCGGCTCGAATGCCGTGTGCCGCGAGCGCAATGGGATCGGCTCCTGCCAGTGCCTGCCCGATTACTTTGGCGATCCCTACCAGTCCTGCCGCCCCGAATGCATCCGAAACTCAGACTGTCCCACGAACAAGGCCTGCCAGCAGCAGAAATGTCGCGATCCCTGCCCCGGCACCTGCGGCACCAATGCTGACTGCAGCGTTACGAATCATCTGCCCACCTGTATATGCCGCATCGGATACATAGGTGATCCCTACCGCTACTGCCATGTGGAGCCAGCGCAACGTAAGATACCCAGCCCACCTTCCTATCTGCGATCCATCCTGAGATTGTCCTGTCGTCCCCCTTCTAGCTATCCGTCTGGCCGAACCAACTCAACCCTGTCGCCCCTCGCCGTGTGGCCCCAACTCTCAGTGTCGCGAACTCAACGGCCAGGCCGTCTGCTCCTGCCTCGAGCTGTACATCGGTCTGCCGCCCAACTGCAGGCCCGAGTGCGTGCTCAGCAGCGAGTGTGCCACGGACAAGGCGTGCATAAGTCAGCGCTGTCAGGATCCCTGCCCCGGTACATGCGGCATCAATGCCGAGTGCCGGGTGCGCAACCATGGTCCACTGTGTCAGTGCCGTCAAGGCTTCACCGGTGATTCCTTCACCCGTTGCTATGCCCTGCCACGTAAGACCAACACCCACCACCACTCCTCCCCCGCACACAGATAGATCTAACAGATATGCAACCCCTCTAGCCCCACCGCCTGTGATTCAGCGTGTGGACCGTGATCCCTGCATGCCATCGCCCTGCGGCTTGAACAGCCAGTGTCGCAATGTGCAGGGTGTGCCCTCCTGCTCCTGTCTGCCCGAATTCCTGGGGGCGCCGCCCAACTGTCGACCCGAGTGCACCATCAGTGCCGAGTGTGCCTCCAATCTGGCGTGCATCCGTGAGAAATGTATTGATCCTTGTCCCGGGTCCTGTGGCTACGGTGCTGAGTGCAATGTGGTGAATCACACGCCCATTTGCGTCTGCCCCGTGGGCTATACCGGCGATCCGTTCAGCAGTTGTCGTCTGTCACCACCCGAACCCATTCAAAGTAAGCCAAATCCCAGCTCCTGTATGCCGCCGAGTCCCTCCCTAACTGCCAAACCCACTCCCCCTACGTAGGTGAATATGTGGATCCGTGCAACCCCTCGCCGTGTGGTCCCAATGCGCAGTGCTCCAACGGTGTGTGCAGCTGTTTGGCCGAATTCCATGGCGATCCCTACGCCGGCTGTCGTCCGGAATGTGTCCTCAACTCGGACTGTGCCAGGGACAAGGCCTGTCTGCGCAGCAAGTGCCACAATCCCTGCCCGGGAACGTGCGGCGAGAATGCCATTTGCGATGTCAGAAATCACATTCCGATGTGCCGCTGTCCGGATGGCACCGCTGGCAGTGCCTTCATACGCTGCTCACCCATCCAGCAAACGACTGTGGAAACGAATCCCTGCCGTCCCTCACCCTGCGGACCCAATTCCCAGTGCCGCGAGATCAACCAGCAGGCGGTTTGCTCCTGCCTGTCCAATTATATCGGAGCCCCGCCATCCTGCCGCCCCGAGTGCACCTCGAACGCTGAGTGCGCGCCCTCGCAGGCGTGTCTGAACCAGCGTTGCGGTGATCCGTGCCCTGGCACCTGTGGCGTGGGTGCCCAGTGTGCTGTGGTCAGCCACAGCCCCTTCTGCACCTGTCCCGAACGCTTCACGGGCAATCCCTTCATCCGTTGCCAGCCACAAAGTAAGCCACACAAGGAAAGGGGAATAAAACCCCCAGAGAGAGTTGTCCCTAATGTTTGTCCTTCCCAGTTGAACCCGTGCGTGATCTTGTCCCAGTCGAACCCTGTCGCCCATCGCCCTGCGGCCCCTACTCCCAGTGTCGCGCCGTCGGCCAAGAAGCCCCCGCCTGCTCCTGCCTGGAGACGTACATTGGACGGCCACCGAACTGCCGGCCAGAGTGTGTAACGAGCTCGGACTGCAGCAGCCAGATGGCGTGTGTCAACCAGAAGTGCGTCGATCCCTGTCCCGGACGCTGTGGCCTCAATGCCGAGTGTCGTGTGGTCAGCCATGCGGTGCAGTGCATCTGCCAGCAGGGCTACACCGGCGACCCCTTCGTGCAGTGCAGCCCCGAGGTCATACGCGACATTGAGATACGCACGCCGTGCAGCCCCAGTCCCTGCGGACCGAATGCCGTGTGCCGCGATCGCCAGGGCGTTGGCTCCTGCCAGTGTCTGCCCGAATACTTTGGCGATCCCTATGCCGGCTGTCGGCCGGAGTGCATGCTCGACTCGGACTGTCCCTCGAGCAGGGCCTGCCAGCAGCTGAGATGCCAGGATCCCTGTCCCGGAACATGCGGTCTGAATGCCCAGTGCCAGGTGGTGAACCATCTGCCGACCTGCAATTGTCTCGCCGGATATGTGGGTGATCCGTACCGCCAGTGCACGCGACTGCAAGAGCGTAAGAAACGCCCTGCCCTCTCTGTTCTCTGTCCCACTAATTTGCCGCCACTTTTAGCACCACAAAACGAATACGTGAATCCCTGCCAGCCCTCGCCCTGCGGCCCCAACTCCCAGTGTCGTGTGGCCAACGAGCAGGCCGTTTGCTCGTGTCTGCCCCTGTTTGTGGGCACTCCGCCCGCCTGCCGACCCGAGTGCACCATCTCCTCAGAGTGTCCCAGCCATCAGGCGTGCGTTAACCAGAAGTGCGTGGATCCCTGCAGCGGCGACACCTGCGGCAGCAACGCCGTGTGCCGAGTGCGCAACCACAGTCCCATCTGCAGCTGCCTCAGCGGCTTCACTGGCGATGCCTTCACGCGTTGCTTCCCCATTCCACGTAAGTTTGTGGCCCCCCCTCAATCCTGTAAAAGAACTCCAGCTGAAAGAAGAATCTGCCTCACCGCAACAGCGCCACCGCCCGAAAGGATCGAAGAACCACTGCGAGATCCCTGTCTGCCCACGCCCTGTGGCCCCAATTCCGAGTGCCGCAACATCAACGGAGTGCCCGCGTGCTCCTGTCTGGCGAGCTTCATGGGCCAGGCGCCCAACTGCCGGCCCGAGTGCACCATCAATGCCGAGTGCCCCGCCAATAGGGCGTGCATCAATCAGCGGTGTCGCGATCCCTGTCCAGGGGCCTGCGGCCTGGACGCCGTCTGCAGCGTCATCAATCATACGCCGCTCTGCGCCTGCATCGATGGGTACATCGGCAATCCGTTCACCAGATGCAGCCCCAAGCCACCGGAGCCCACATCCCCGCCACCGGTCAGCGACGATCCGTGCAATCCCTCGCCCTGCGGCTCGAATGCCGTGTGCCGCAACGGCCAGTGCTCGTGTATACCCGAATACCAGGGCGATCCCTATGTCTCCTGCCGGCCCGAGTGCGTGCTGAACACGGACTGTGCCCGCGACCGGGCCTGTGTGCGCAACAAGTGCATAGATCCGTGTCCCGGCACCTGTGGCGTGAACGCCCTCTGCGAGGTGACCAACCACATACCCATCTGTCGCTGTCCCGACCGGATGTCCGGCAACGCGTTCTTCGAGTGTCGTCCCGTGCCGACGGCGCCCATCGTCCAGCAGAATCCCTGCCAGCCAACGCCATGCGGACCCAACAGCCAGTGCCGCGTGGTGCAGAACACGGCCGTCTGCTCCTGCCTGAGCGATTACGTGGGCAGTCCGCCCCAATGCCGGCCGGAGTGCGTCACCAACTCGGACTGTCCGGCGGATCAGGCGTGCCAGAACATGAAGTGCCGCGATCCCTGTCCGGGCACCTGCGGCTTCAATGCTTTGTGCAACGTGGTCAATCACAGTCCCTTCTGCAGCTGCCCCACAGGCATGTCCGGCAATCCGTTCGTTGGCTGCCAGCAGCTGCCACAACGCGACGATCGACCGCCACAGAATCCCTGCCAGCCCTCGCCCTGTGGCCCCAACTCCGAGTGCCGCGTCTCCGGAGACTCCCCATCCTGCTCCTGCCTGCCAGAGTTCGTCGGAGCTCCGCCCAACTGCCAGCCCGAGTGCATCTCCAGCTCCGAGTGCCCCACCAACAGGGCGTGCATCAACCAGAAATGCGTCGATCCCTGCCCCGGATTGTGCGGACAGAATGCCAACTGTCGCGTGTTCAGCCACACGGCCATGTGCCTGTGCGAGAGCGGCTTCACCGGCGATCCATTCACCCAGTGTAGCCCGGTCCGAGACGCCCCCGTGGAGGTGCTGCAGCCCTGCAATCCCAGTCCCTGTGGCGTCAATGCCAGGTGCGAGGAGCGCGCTGGAGCCGGCTCCTGCACCTGTCTGCCGGAGTACTTTGGCAATCCCTACGATGGCTGCCGCCCCGAGTGTGTCCTGAATTCCGACTGCCCCTCGAACCGTGCCTGCGTGAATCAGAAGTGCCGCGATCCCTGTCCCGGAGTCTGTGGCCAGAGCGCCGAGTGCCAGGTGGTCAATCATCTGGCCACTTGCAATTGTCTGACTGGCTACACCGGAGACCCCTACACCCTGTGCCGCATCGTCGAGAACGAACCACGTAAGACTATCCAGGCCTATGATCCTCTCCCCCGCCCACTGATCCTCTCTGACCATCGTGTGACTTCTTTTAGCCGTACCCATCTACGTGAATCCCTGCCAGCCCTCGCCCTGCGGCCCCAACTCGCGTTGCCGCGAGATCAACGAGCAGGCCGTGTGCTCCTGTCTGCCCGAGTTCATTGGCAGTGCCCCGGCCTGTCGTCCGGAGTGCACCAGCAGCTCGGAGTGTGCCGCCGACAAGGCGTGTGTGAATCGCAAGTGCGTCGATCCCTGTCCGAATGTGTGCGGCCAGCAGGCCGAGTGTCGCGTTCGCAATCACAATCCCATCTGCAGCTGCCTCAGCGGATACACCGGAGATCCGTTCACCCGCTGCTACCGTCAGCCGCGTAAGCGCCAGAGAAACCTTCGAATGTCATGGAAAATATCCTATCAAACCCTCCCCTCCCCTCCCCCCTTTTGCAGCTCCACCCGAGGTGCCCGTTGAAAGAGAACCCCTTGATCCGTGTGTGCCGTCGCCGTGTGGCGCCAATTCGCAGTGTCGCGATGTCTATGGCACACCCTCGTGCTCCTGCCTGCCGCAGTTCTCGGGCACGCCGCCCAACTGCCGACCCGAGTGCTCCATCAATGCGGAGTGTCCTAGCCATCAGGCGTGCATCAATCAGAAGTGCCGCGACCCCTGTCCCGGCTCCTGTGGCCTCAACACCCAGTGCAATGTGATCAATCACACGCCCATCTGCAGCTGTCTTCTGGGCTACATTGGGGATCCATTCAGCGTTTGTAATCCCGAGCCACCGCAGAAAAGTAAGCGCCCAGAATTGTCAGCCCCCGGAACAGAAATCATTTCTCATTTCTCTTTGCAAATCCCAGTTCAAGATCCTCTGCCACCTCAAGATCCCTGCTATCCCTCGCCATGTGGCTCCAATAGCCGCTGCAACAATGGCGTCTGCTCGTGTCTGCCCGAGTACCATGGCGATCCCTACACCGGCTGTCGGCCCGAATGTGTCCTGCACACAGAATGCGATCGCAGCCGGGCCTGTGTCCGGCACAAGTGTGTGGATCCCTGCCCCGGCATATGTGGCACGAATGCGATATGCGAGGTCTTGAATCACATTCCCAATTGCCGTTGTCCCGCCGAAATGCAGGGCAACGCCTTCATCCAGTGCAGCCCAGTGCCACGTAAGCCCAAACCCTCAAACCCCTACCCTCTGCCCGTTCGGAGTCGCTACAAAAGTCCTTGGAACCCCTTACAGAACTCGATGTTGTGGAGAATCCCTGCCAGCCCTCGCCCTGCGGACCCAATGCCCAGTGCCGCGTGGCCAACCAGCAGGCCATTTGCTCCTGCATCGCACCCTTCATTGGCAGTCCGCCCTTCTGCCGGCCGGAGTGCACCAGCAACGCGGAATGCCCCTTGAACCTCGCCTGCTTGAACCAGAAGTGCGGCGATCCCTGTCCGGGCGTCTGCGGCCGCAGTGCCCAGTGCCATGTGACGAACCACAGTCCGTTCTGTCGCTGCCTGGACCGCCACACGGGCAATCCCTTCGTCAGCTGCCAGCCGATCATTGAGCCGCCAGTGCCGCCGCCTCGCCAGCCATGCCTGCCCTCACCCTGCGGCGCGTACGCCCAGTGTCGGGAGATCAATGAGACGCCGTCGTGCACCTGCCTGCCCGAGTACATTGGAGCGCCGCCCAACTGTCGACCCGAGTGCGTGACCAGCTCCGAGTGCCCCACCCAGCAGGCGTGCATCCAGCAGAAGTGCCGCGATCCCTGTCCCGGTCTGTGCGGCCTCTTGGCCGAGTGCCGCGTGCTCTCGCACACCCCCAGCTGCGTCTGTCCCGAGGGCCTGGAGGGCGATCCGTTCACCCAGTGCACGGAGAAGAGAATCCAGCAGCTGGACCGATTGGACCCATGCAATCCCAGTCCCTGTGGCGTCAATGCGAGATGCACTTCGCGCCAGGATGCTGGCTCTTGCCAGTGTCTGCCGGAGTACTTTGGCAATCCCTACGAGGGCTGCCGCCCCGAATGTGTCCTCAGCTCGGACTGCCCCTCGAACAGAGCCTGCCAGCAGCAGAAGTGCGAGGATCCCTGCCCGGGAACCTGCGGCCAGAACGCCATCTGCAATGTCCTCAACCACGTGCCCAGCTGCAGCTGCATCACGGGCTACTCCGGCGACCCCTACCGCCAGTGCCTGCCCGAACGTCAACGTAAGACATCAGACCTAATCACTTGGAGATCTAGTCCCACCACCACAATCCCTGCTCTAACTTTTGTAGCCATCAAGGAGTACCTGAACCCCTGCCAGCCCTCGCCCTGCGGCCCCAATTCCCAGTGTCGCGAGTCCAACGAGCAGGCCGTGTGCTCCTGCCTGCCCGAATATGTGGGTGCACCGCCCGTCTGCCGGCCCGAGTGCACCATCTCCTCAGAGTGCGCGAAGGACAAGGCCTGCGTGGCCCAGAAGTGCGTCGATCCCTGTCCGAATACCTGCGGCGAGCAGGCCACGTGTCGTGTGCTGAACCACAGTCCCATTTGCACGTGTCGCGCCGGCTACACGGGCGACGCCTTCTATCGCTGTGTACCCAAGCCCCGTAAGTTGAGCCCCCCAGACCGATCAGAGCCGCGGTTCCCAGTGTTTTAATCTTCCCAATTTCCCCCACAAAGCTGTGCCAGTGGCCCCGCCAGTGCAAAAGACACCTGTCGATCCCTGTGTGCCCTCGCCCTGCGGCCCCTATGCCGAGTGTCGGGCGAATGGCGAGGCGCCTGCCTGCTCCTGTTCGTTTGGTTACTTGGGCGCTCCGCCCAACTGCCGTCCCGAGTGTCGCATCAATGCAGAGTGCCTCAGCCGTGAGGCCTGCATCAACGAGAAGTGTCGCGATCCCTGTCCCGGCTCCTGTGGCCTTGGCGCCACTTGCAACGTGATCAATCATACGCCCAGCTGCACCTGTCCGCCGGGCTACACGGGCGATCCATTCACCAATTGCCAGCCCCAACCACCGCCGCCACCACGTAAGCGTCTCCCTCCTGTCCCTGTTCTCCCATTCAGAAATGATTTAAACAACGATCTGTCCCGTCCTAGTGGTGGAGCTGGAGGATCCCTGCCAGCCCTCGCCCTGCGGTGCCAATGCGCTGTGCAGCGCAGGCGTTTGCACGTGCATCGCGGAGTATCATGGGGACCCGTACAGCGGCTGTCGCCCCGAGTGCATCACCAGTTTGGACTGCGCCCGGGATCGGGCCTGTGCGCGTCACAAGTGCTTCGATCCCTGCCCGGGCACCTGTGCCCCCAATGCCGTTTGCACGGTCCTCAATCACGTGCCCATGTGCACCTGCCCTGAGGGTTATGCTGGCAATGCGTTCGTCCAGTGCCAACCAGTGCCACGTAAGCCCCCAGAACAGCTGCCTTAACATCCTCACAGGGACTCAAACCACTTACCCCCGCCCTTTCCACTCTGCAGCACCTGCCATTGTCCAGCCGTGTCAACCCTCGCCCTGTGGCCCCAATTCTCAGTGCCGTGAGGCGAACGGTCAGGCCGTATGCTCCTGCGTGCCCGGATACATTGGAACGCCGCCGCTCTGTCGTCCGGAGTGCACCTCGAACGCGGAGTGTGTGTCCCTCGAGGCGTGTGTGAACCAGAAGTGCGTCGATCCCTGTCCGGGTGCCTGCGGCAGGAGTGCCCAGTGCAGTGTCGTCAATCACAATCCCTTCTGCACCTGCCTGCCCCACTACACGGGCAATCCGTTTGTGGGCTGCCAGCAGATCATCGAGCCGCCACAGCGAGAGGAAATAGTTCCACGCGATCCCTGCCGCCCGTCCCCGTGCGGACCCAATGCCGAGTGTCGCGCCGTTGGGGACACGCCGTCGTGCTCCTGTCTGCCGCAATTCGTGGGCACTCCGCCGTACTGCAAGCCGGAGTGCGTGACCAACTCCGAGTGTCCATCGAATCGGGCGTGCATCAATCAGCAGTGCCGCGATCCCTGCCCCGGTCTGTGCGGTCTCAGTGCCATTTGTCGCGTTGTCTCCCACACGGCCATGTGCGTCTGCGATGCGGGCCTCACCGGCGATCCCTTCACCCAGTGCCAGCCGATTGTGCGCGATGTGGAGACCATCAATCCGTGCCAGCCCTCGCCCTGTGGCTCCAACGCCGAGTGCATACAACGCAACGGCGCGGGCGCCTGCCAGTGTCTGCCGGAGTACTTTGGCAATCCCTACGAGGGCTGTCGACCGGAGTGCGTGCTCAACTCGGACTGTGCCGCGAACAGAGCCTGCCAGCAGCAGAAGTGCCGCGATCCCTGCCCCGGCAGCTGTGGCCAGAACGCCGAGTGCAATGTCGTCAATCACACGCCCCTCTGCAGCTGCTTCCCCGGATTCATAGGCGATCCGTATCGCTACTGCAGCCAGCCGCCAGAACGTAAGCCAGCTCCAATTCTCCTCCGTAGTTGTACTAAACTGTTGCTCGTAGTTGAACTAGTTACTAATTCCAAGCGTATTTCGTATCCTAACCCCCAACCCAAACCACTAGCTATTGTCCATGACTACGTGAATCCCTGCCAGCCCTCGCCCTGTGGCTCCAATGCCATTTGTCGCGTGGTCAACGAGCAGGCCGTCTGCTCCTGTGCCCCCGAGTTCGAAGGAGCCCCGCCCAACTGCCGTCCCCAGTGCACCTCCAGCTCTGAGTGTGCCGCCACCAAGGCGTGCATCAGCTACAAGTGTGCCGATCCCTGTCCTGGTGTGTGCGGCCATCAAGCGATCTGCGAGGTGCGCAACCACAGTCCCGTCTGCAGGTGTCCCCCAGCCCTGATGGGCGACCCCTTTGTGCGCTGCCTGCCACGACCAGAGAGTAAGCAAAGATTCAGAACCATGAAACGTGATCCGGAATGGTGTTAATCCTCTGCGCCCCCTGACAGTTGCTCCGCCACCCCTGAGAGATGTGGCCCCCTACCGCGATCCCTGTGTACCCTCGCCCTGTGGCCTGTACTCCGCCTGCCGCAACCAGCAGCAGCAGGCTGTCTGCTCCTGCCTGCCCCAATACTTTGGCACGCCCCCGCACTGCCGACCCGAGTGCTCCATCAATGCGGAGTGCCCCAGCCATTTGGCGTGCATCCAGCAGCGGTGTCGCGATCCCTGTCCCGGCGCCTGCGGCCAGCAGACCGAGTGTCGGGTGACCAATCACGTGCCCAGCTGCCTGTGCCTGCAGGGCTATGTGGGCGACGCCTTCCTGGCCTGCCACCCCGCTCCACGTAAGACCCTTGACCTTTACCTTTGTTCCAGAACTCTCTGTAAGTCCCCCACCCCACAGCCCCGCCCACGTACGATGAGCCGCGCGATCCCTGCAATCCCAGTCCCTGCGGCAGCAATGCCATTTGCTCGGGCGAGGGACAGTGCCACTGTGTGGCCGACTATCTGGGCGATCCCTATGTCTCCTGCCGACCCGAATGCGTGCTGAGTGCCGAGTGTCCTCGGCATCTGGCCTGCATCCGCCAAAAGTGCACGGACCCGTGTCCCGGCACATGCGGCCTGAATGCCATCTGTGAAGTCCAGAGCCACACAGCCATGTGCCATTGTCCCCCCGGAATGACGGGCAATGCCTTCGCCCAGTGCAGTCCCAGTCCCGTACGCGATGCAGTGCCGGTCTATCGCAATCCCTGCAGCCCCTCGCCCTGCGGCAGCTACGCCGAGTGTCGCGAGCGGAATGGCCAGGCCATCTGCAGCTGCCTGCCCAACTACTTTGGGGTGCCGCCCGCGTGCCGGCCCGAGTGCAGCAGCAACTACGACTGTGCCCCCCATTTGGCGTGCCAGAACCAGCGCTGTGTCGATCCCTGTCCGGGCGCCTGTGGCGCCAACGCCCAGTGCCGCGCCGTCAGCCACAGTCCCTTCTGCAGCTGCAGGCCTGGCTACACGGGCAATCCCTTCGCGCAGTGTCACATGATCTGTAAGTGCATCCCCCAGTCCATTAAGCAGAAGTCCCACCTAATGCTTGTCCCGTGTCCAGTTGAGCCTTTGAGGGATGTTGCGCCGCGAGATCCCTGCCAGCCCTCGCCCTGCGGCCCCAACAGCGAGTGTCGCCCCGTGGGCGAGACGCCATCCTGCTCCTGCCTGGCCAACTTCTTTGGCTCGCCGCCCAACTGCCGGCCCGAGTGCGTGTCCAACTCTGAGTGCAGCTCTGTGCAAGTCTGTGTGAACAATCGCTGCCGCGATCCCTGTCCCGGACTTTGTGGCACATCCGCAGTCTGTCGCGTCATCAGCCACAGCGCCATGTGCCACTGCCAGGCGGGCTACAGCGGCGATCCGTTCATCCGCTGTGATCCCATTGTCGTGCGTGACCCCGTGGAGGTGCTGCAGCCTTGTAATCCGAGTCCCTGTGGCGCCTTTGCCGAGTGCCGGCAGCAGAATGGAGTCGGCTCCTGCACCTGTCTGCCCGAATACTACGGCAATCCCTACGAGTCCTGTCGCCCCGAGTGCGTCCTGGACTCTGACTGTGCCTCGAACCGTGCCTGCGTGAATCAGAAGTGCCGCGATCCCTGTCCCGGAGTGTGTGGCCACAACGCCGAGTGCTATGTCCGCAATCATTTGCCCACCTGCAACTGCCTGAACGGCTACGTGGGCGATCCCTACAGCTATTGCAGCATCGAGACCAAACGTAAGCAGACATCAGCCCTGAGTCCACGTATCCGCATCTCTGGAGCTCCTCCCTTTCCTCCCTTTCCCATTGCAGCCCTTCGTGAGTATGTGAATCCCTGCCAGCCCTCGCCCTGTGGCCCCAACTCCCAGTGCCGTGAGTCCGGCGAGCAGGCCGTCTGCTCCTGTCTGCCCGAGTACGTGGGCAGTCCGCCTGGCTGTCGTCCCGAGTGCACGGTCTCCGCGGAGTGCAGCCTGGACAGGGCGTGTGTGCGCCACAAGTGCGTGGATCCCTGTCCGGGTGCCTGTGGCAACAATGCCGTTTGCCGTGGCATGAACCATGCCCCTCTCTGCTCCTGTCAGCCCGGCTACACGGGAGATCCATTCACCCGCTGCTATCCAGTGCCTCGTAAGTCCCTTGGCCCCCCTGTACCCTGACCACTGTGTGATTCTTAATATCCCTCATCCCTCCCCTTCGATCAGCTCCTACCTCGCATGTCCTGTACGACATTGTCAGCGATCCCTGCCAGCCGTCGCCCTGCGGCGCCAATGCCCAGTGCAGACAGGCGCAGGGCCAGGCCATCTGCAGCTGTTATCCCAACTACTTTGGTCTGCCGCCCAACTGCCGACCCGAGTGCACCCAGAGTGCCGAGTGCCTGTCCAGCCAGGCGTGCATCAATCAACGCTGCGCGGATCCCTGTCCCGGCTCCTGTGCCTACAACGCCCTCTGCACCACCCGCAACCATGTGCCCAGCTGTCAGTGTCCCGCCCGCTATGTGGGAGATCCCTTCACCAGTTGCTACCCCGAACCACCACCACCACCAGCACGTAAGCATCAAATGGAAACGAATCCTGCTGTGAACTCAACCCTCAACTCCCACCCCTGCCCATCCGTAGCCACGCCCATTGCCCTCGACGATCCCTGCCATCCCTCGCCCTGTGGGGCCAATGCTCAGTGCTCGAACGGTCAGTGTTCGTGTATTGGGGACTACCAGGGAGATGCCTACCGCGGCTGCCGTCCGGAGTGTGTCCTGAATGCGGACTGCTCGCGGGATCGGGCCTGTGTGCGCCACAAGTGCGTCGATCCCTGCCCGGGCACCTGTGCCCCCAATGCCATTTGCGAGACGATCAATCACATTGCCATGTGCCGCTGTCCCGAGCGGATGACGGGCAATGCCTTCATTCAGTGCGAGGCCCCAAACTGTGGCCCTTACGCCACCCGATCCGTGTGCCCCGTCCCCGTGCGGCCCCAACAGCCGCTGCCGCGTGTTCAACAACAATGCCGTCTGCTCCTGCATCGAGGATTATGTGGGCACGCCGCCCAATTGCCGGCCCGAGTGCAGCCACAACTCGGACTGTCTGCCGCGCCTGGCGTGCCAGCGGCAGCACTGCAGCGATCCGTGTCCCGGAACCTGTGGCTTCAACGCCCTCTGTCACGTGGTCAATCACGCGCCAATCTGCAGCTGTCCGCCGCAACACAATGGCAACCCATTCACGGGCTGCTTCCCGGAGCCAGTGCGTCGCGATGAGCAGCAACCCAGGAACCCCTGCCAGCCGTCTCCCTGCGGCCCCTATGCCCAGTGCCGGGCTGTGGGCGATCAGGCACAGTGCAGCTGCCTAGCCAGCTACATTGGCACGCCGCCCAACTGCCGGCCCGAGTGCGTGGCCAATTCGGAGTGCAGCTTCGACAGGGCGTGCCTCAGGCAGCGCTGCAGCGATCCCTGTCCCGGCGTTTGTGGCTCCAATGCCCAGTGCCATGCGATCAGCCATGCCGCCATGTGCCACTGCCTGCCCGGCTACACGGGCGATCCATTCAGCGCCTGCCACCAGCCGCCGATCCTCCAACAGATCGAATATGTCCAGCCCTGCTCGCCGAATCCCTGCGGGGCCAATGCCGTGTGTCGCCACGAGGGCAGTGCCGGCTCCTGCCAGTGCCTGCCCGAGTACTACGGCAATCCGTACGAGGCCTGTCGACCCGAGTGTCTGGCCGACAGCGACTGTCCGGCGGATAGGTCCTGCCATCAGCTGAAGTGCCGCGATCCCTGCCCCGGGGTCTGTGCCCTGAACGCCGCCTGTCGCGTCATCAATCACCTGCCCACCTGTCACTGTCTCAGCGGATTCCTGGGCGATCCCTACAGCTACTGTCGTCTGCCCGAGAAACGTGAGTCAAAGATCCTGCGTGTGTGTGTGTGCCCCAGATCAGCAGCCCTAACCCCCCGCCCTACTTACCGTCTCATTAGCCATTCTCAAGGAGTATGTGAATCCCTGCCAGCCCTCGCCCTGTGGCCCCAACTCGCAGTGTCGGGAGAGCAACGAGCAGGCCATCTGCTCGTGCCAGCCGGAATACGTGGGTGCGCCGCCCAACTGTCGTCCGGAGTGCGTCTCGAATGGCGAGTGTCCGCGTGACAAGGCGTGCCTCAGCCAAAAGTGCGCCGATCCCTGTCCCGGAGTGTGCGGCTCCAATGCCGAGTGTCGTGTCTTCCAGCATGCCCCCATCTGTAGCTGTCGTTCCGGGCTGACGGGCGACGCCTTCACCCGTTGCCTGCCCCTGCCACGTAAGAGAAGAATCCCAGAACCCAAGCAGCAGCAGTATCCTCCATCTTTCCCTGTTTTTAGCACCCATTGCCCCGCTCTTGGATGTCGATCGCGATCCCTGTGTGCCCTCGCCCTGCGGCCAGTATGCGCAGTGTAGGGACAACCGAGGCAGTGCCACCTGCACCTGCCTGCCCTCGTACTACGGCACTCCGCCCAACTGTCGGCCCGAGTGCACCATCGCCGCGGACTGTCCCTCCCATTTGGCGTGTGCCAATCAACACTGTCGCGATCCCTGCCCGGGAGCCTGTGGCTTCAATGCCCACTGCACGGTGATCAACCATAGTCCCACGTGTCAGTGTGCGCCCGGGCTGATTGGAAACCCATTCGCATCCTGCCATGCGCGGCCACGCGACCCCCCACCACCAGAACGTGACACCAGCGATCCCTGCGCCTCGATTTCGTGTGGCGCCAATGCCGTCTGCCGCCTGGGAAGTTGCAGCTGTCTGCCCGAGTTCATTGGCAATCCCCTGATTGGCTGCCGACCCGAGTGCATCCTGAGCGCGGAATGCGACTGGGACAAGGCGTGCGTGCGGAACAAGTGCGTCGATCCCTGTCCCGGCACGTGCGGGTCCAGTGCCATCTGTGAGGTTCACCGACACGTGGCCATGTGCCACTGTCCCCCGGGAATGACGGGCAATGCCTTCTCGCAGTGTCGAGCTCTGCCGCCGGCACAGGATCCGCCCATCATCGTCGATCCCTGCCAGCCCTCGCCTTGCGGACCAAATGCCCAGTGCCGCCGCATCAATGGCCAGGCCGTGTGCTCGTGCCTGCCACAGTTTGTGGGCACACCACCCTCCTGCCGTCCCGAGTGCGTCAGCAACGGGGAATGTCCGCTGCACTTGGCGTGTCTGCAGCAGCGGTGTCGCGATCCCTGTCCCGGATCCTGCGGCCTCAATGCCGACTGTCGCGTGATCAACCACAGTCCCAACTGCCAGTGCATCCCATCGTTCACGGGCAATCCGTTCGTGGCCTGCCACCGCCAAGTGCCGCCCCCTCTGCTGCTGGATCCCTGCCAACCCTCGCCGTGTGGCGCCAATGCCGAGTGTCGCGTCCAAGGAACCACCGCCCAGTGCAGCTGCCTGGCTGGATTTGTGGGCACACCACCCGACTGCCGACCGGAATGCGTCTCCAACTCCGACTGTCCCACGAATCTGGCCTGCCGCAACCAAAAGTGCCGCGATCCCTGCCCCGGAGTCTGTGGCCAGAACGCCGAGTGCTACGTGATCAATCACACGCCCATGTGCACGTGTCTGGCTGGATACAATGGCAATCCCTTTGCCGGCTGTCAGGTGCTGGTGCGCGATGTACCAGAGACGCCGCTCAATCCGTGTGTGCCCAGTCCGTGCGGCGCCAATGCTCTGTGCAGCGAACGGAATGGAGCAGGCGCATGCCAGTGCCTGCCAGAGACCTATGGCAATCCCTACGAGGGCTGTCGTCCCGAGTGTGTCCTCAACACGGACTGCCCCAGCCATTTGGCGTGTGTGAATCAACACTGCCGCGATCCGTGTCCCGGCAGCTGCGGCTCCAACGCCCTGTGCCAGGTGCGCCACCATCTGCCGCAGTGCCAGTGCCTGGCGGGCTACCAGGGCAATCCCTACACCCACTGCAGTCTCCAGCGCGATCGTAAGACCCTCCTTGATGTTCCTTTGGCGTACTTACCCCAGCCCATACTTCTCCTCCCCGCAGCCCTGCCCGAGCCCATTGCCTCCCGTCCTTGCCAGCCCGCGCCCTGCGGACCCAATGCCCAGTGCCGTGAGGCGAATGGTCAAGCCATTTGCAGCTGCCTGCCAGACTTTGTGGGCTCCCCGCCCGCGTGCAGGCCCGAGTGCACCATCTCCAGCGAGTGCGACCTGAACAGGGCCTGTGTGCAGCACCACTGCGTGGATCCCTGTCCCGGCATCTGCGGCAGCAACGCCCAGTGCCGTGTCCTCAACCACAGTCCCCACTGCAGCTGTCTGCCCGGCTACACGGGCGATGCCTTCAGTGGCTGTCAGAAGATCCGTAAGACCCCCCCGCCCAGCCACCCTTTGGCCTTGCCTAACACCGAGAACAAACCCTTTGCAGGAGCAGCCATTAGCTATGATGCCCCGCCCAAGGACAGCTACCGCGACCCGTGTGCCCCCTCGCCGTGCGGCACCTTTGGCCAGTGCAGGGATCAGGGCAACCAGCAGGCCCTGTGCTCCTGTCTGCCCGGATACTTTGGCGTCCCGCCCCAGTGCCAGCCGGAGTGTGTGATCAATCCCGACTGCGCCTCGCACCTGGCCTGCATTGGCGAGAAGTGCCGCGATCCCTGTCCCGGCTCCTGTGGCCTGCTGGCCCACTGCAACGTCATCAATCACACGCCCATCTGCAGCTGTCCGCCTGGCCATCAGGGCAATCCCTTTGTCAGCTGCCGACCCCAACCGCCGCCGTCTCCGGTTCCCGTGCTGCGCGACGCCTGCAACCCCTCGCCCTGCGGCCCCAATGCCGTCTGCAGTGCCGGCGGGCAGTGCAGCTGTCTGGCGGAGTTCGACGGCAACCCCTATGTGGGCTGTCGCCCGGAGTGTGTCCTGAATACAGAGTGTGCCCGGGACAGGGCCTGCCAGCGCAGCAAGTGCGTGGATCCCTGTCCGGGCGCCTGTGGTGTGGGCGCCGTTTGTGAGGTGCGCAACCACATCCCCATCTGTCGCTGTCCGGCCGGAACGAGCGGAAACGCCTTCACCCAGTGCACGACCATCCAATGTAGGTTCCCTTGGCCATCTCTTGTGGAAAGAACTCCTCCAGCTAATGTCTCCCACCCCGCCTCTTGTTTAGCTGCTCCCGCGGAGTCACTGAATCCGTGCCAGCCCTCGCCCTGCGGATCGAATGCCCAGTGCCGCGTGGCCAACCAGCAGGCCGTCTGCTCCTGCCTGAGCGGATACTTTGGGGTGCCGCCCGCGTGCCGACCCGAGTGCACCATCAACTCGGACTGTGCCCCCCACCTGGCGTGCCTCAATCAGCAGTGTCGCGATCCCTGTCCCGGTGCCTGCGGTCAGTTTGCCAACTGCCAGGTCATTCGCCATGTGCCCCACTGCAGCTGTCCCGCCGGATACACGGGCAATGCCTTCGCCCTGTGCCAGCGCACGCCACCGGCGATTGTGCAGCGGGAACCCCTGCTGCCCTGCCAGCCATCCCCGTGCGGATCGAATGCCCAGTGCACGGAACAAGGCGATCAAGCCGTCTGCAAGTGCCTCGAGGGCCACATAGGATCGCCGCCCAACTGTCGACCCGAGTGCATAACATCGTCCGAGTGCCCCAACCAATTGGCGTGCATCCGGCGGAAGTGCCGCGATCCGTGTCCCGGCTTGTGCGGACAGGCAGCCCGCTGCCAGGTGGTGAGCCATGTGCCCGCGTGCCTCTGCATTGGCGACTACATCGGAGACCCGTACACGGCCTGCCGGCCACGACCACCGATCGAACGCGATCAGATCAATCCGTGTGCGCAGAGTCCGTGCGGCAGCAATGCCATCTGCAGACAGCAGAGCGGAGCTGCGGCCTGCCAGTGCCTGCCGGAGACCTATGGCAATCCGTACGAGGGCTGCCGACCCGAGTGTGTGCTCAACTCGGACTGTGCGGGCCACTTGGCCTGCTTGAATCAACATTGTCGCGATCCCTGTCCCGGCAGCTGTGCCCCCAATGCCCAGTGCCAGGTCGTGAGTCACATACCCAGCTGTAGCTGCTATCCCGGCTACAGAGGGGATCCCTATACCCATTGCCAGGCGGTGCCTGTCCAGGCGGAACGTAAGCAACCCCCCCACACCTGCCCACAGTCTAACCCACAATCCACCAACACTCTTGCACCCTTCTGCACCCCTCCAGCCGTCGATCCCTGCCGCCCCTCGCCGTGTGGCCCCAACTCTGAGTGTAGCGTAGCCCAGGGACAGGCTGTCTGTCGCTGCCTGCCCGAATACTACGGCACTCCGCCCGCCTGTCGACCCGAATGCACCACCAATCCCGAGTGTCCGCAGGACAGGGCCTGCGTGGCCAGACACTGCGCCGATCCGTGTCCGGGTGCCTGTGGCCAGAATGCCATTTGTCAGGCGCACCAACACCGAGCCCTCTGCTCCTGTCCGCCCGGCTACACCGGCGACGCCTTCATGCGATGCCTCCCGTTGCCCCCGCCGCCCCAGCCACCCATTCGACAGCAGTCGTCCCCTGCTCCCGTAGATCCCTGCGTGCCCTCGCCCTGCGGACAGTATGCCCAGTGTCGCGAGCAGTACGGACAAGGTGTGTGCACCTGTCTGGACTCCTACTACGGCACCCCGCCCCACTGCCGCCCCGAGTGCACCCTCAACTCGGACTGTCCCAGCCATCGGGCGTGCATCAACCAGAAGTGTCGGGATCCCTGTCCCGGCGCCTGCGGCCTGTACGCCCAGTGTGCGGTCCTCAACCATGTCCCCAGCTGCTCCTGTCCGCAAGGATACCTCGGAGATCCCTTCTACCGCTGCTATCCAGCGCCAACCCCATCGCCAGTGGCTCCCATTGTGGCCGAAGACGATCCCTGCCACCCCTCGCCCTGCGGCCCCAATGCTCAGTGCTCGAACGGCGTCTGCAGCTGTCTGCCACTCTACCAGGGCGATCCCTACGCGGGCTGTCGTCCCGAGTGCGTGCTGAGCACAGAGTGCCCCTGGGACAAGGCCTGCATACGCAATCGCTGCCTCGATCCGTGTCCGGGAACTTGTGGCTCCGGCGCCTACTGCCGCGTCCACAGCCATGTGGCCCTGTGTCACTGTCCGGATGGCCAGCAGGGAAATCCGTTCGTGCTGTGCCAGCCCGTCCAGCGGCAGGATGCAGCGCCCACTCAGCTGCATCCCTGCCAGCCATCGCCCTGCGGCGCCCATGGACAGTGTCGCGAGATTGGCTCTCGGGCGGAATGCACCTGCCTGCCCGGCTACTACGGCAGTCCGCCCGTCTGTCGCCCGGAGTGCGTCAGCGACCCGGAGTGTCCCCCCAGCCTGTCGTGCGTGAATCAAAGGTGCCGCGACCCTTGTCCCGGCGCCTGTGGCTACCTCGCCCAATGTCACGTGATCAGCCACAGTCCGCAGTGTGTTTGCCCGTCGGGCTACACGGGCAGTCCGTACTCCCAGTGCCAGCTGATCCGTAGAGCTCCCGTGCAGCGGGAGCCCATCGATCCCTGCCAGCCCTCGCCCTGCGGCCCCCACTCGCAGTGCAGCAACGAGGACGGCCTCAACGCCATCTGCCGCTGCCTGCCCGAGTATGTGGGCGTGCCGCCGTACTGCCGGCCGGAGTGCATTGCCAACAGCGAGTGTCCCGGCGACAGGGCGTGCATCAACTGGAAGTGCCAGGATCCCTGTCCCGGCCTCTGCGGCTACAACGCCATCTGCCGGACGTACAATCACCAGCCGAACTGTGTCTGTGCCCCGGGCCTGGTGGGCAATCCGTTCAGCTCGTGTCTGCCACCAGCACCTCGGCCCTCCTACGCGTCCCCGTCCCCCCCCGTGATACCCACAACGGCCATTGAGGTACTGCAACACGATCAGCCCCTGCGCAATCCGTGCGAGCCGAATCCCTGCGGGGCCAATGCTCGATGCAGTCAGCAGAGGGGCGCTGCCTCCTGCGTCTGCTTGCTGGACTACTACGGCAATCCGTACGACGCCTGCCGGCCCGAGTGCATCCTCAATTCCGACTGTCCCTCGGACAGGGCGTGCGTGCAGCAAAAGTGTCGCGACCCGTGCCCGGGCACCTGCGGCCTCAACGCCCAGTGCCACGTGCTGGATCACTTGCCCCATTGCCAGTGCCTCAGCGGCTACACGGGCAACCCGCTGGCCTACTGTGCCCCGCAGCCCCTTGTCCAGGAATGTAAGCAACCGCCATGCAATCGCACCCCCTCGAACCCCAATCTAATCCTCTCGTCCGCCCCAGCACCCCTGACCCCGTGTGATCCCTCGCCCTGTGGACCCAATGCCCGGTGTCAGCCGTCGAACGACCAAGCCGTCTGCTCCTGTCTGCCCGACTTCCATGGCACCCCGCCCCAATGTCGACCCGAGTGCACTTTGAACTCAGAGTGTGCCCTCGACAGGGCGTGCGTCCATCGCAAGTGCATCGATCCCTGTCCCGGAACCTGCGGCTTAAATGCCGACTGTCGGGTGCACTACCACAGTCCCATCTGCTACTGCATCGCCGCGCACACCGGTGATCCGTTCAGCCGCTGCTACGAGCTACCCACCAGACGTAAGAATATACTCCACGACAGTGTAAACGGTCCAGAGCCTAACCATCCCACTCCTCTGGCCCCAACCCCTCATTCCCCGACAGCGCCGACAGCCGAACGACCCCAACAGATATACGACACTCCATCGCCACCCTATCCGGTGGCTATACCCGGATTGGTGTACATCCAGCAACAGCAGCCGGGAATCGTCAACATTCCCAACCAACCGCCGAGGCCACAGTCCCCTCCACAACAGCCAGGAGTCGTAAACATCCCAACGTATCCCTCACCCCAAACACCGATCCAACAACAGCCTGCAGTTGTAAATATACCTGCAGGGGCTCGGCCAGTGTATCCCACACCTCAGCCGCCGTTCTACGATGTGAATTATCCATCTCCAACTCCACAACAACCTGGAGGAATAGTGAATATACCCTCGGTGCCACAGCCTGTGCCTGCTGTTCCCCAACGTCCAGTCTTTATACCATCTGCACCACAGCCTGGAGTAGTGAATATTCCCTCCGTGCCACAGCCAGGGTATCCATCACCCCAGCCACCAGTTTACGATGTGAATTACCCAACGCCTCAGACGCCGATTCAGCAGGCACCAGGAATTGTGAATATTCCTTCAGTGGCGCAGCCTGCACCACCCCAGCCGGGAGTGATTAACATTCCGTCGGTGCCACAGCCACAGCCAGGCTATCCAGGAGTCGTAAACATCCCTTCGGTGCCACAGCCTGTGTACCCATCACCCCAGCCACCGATCTACGATGTTAGTTATCCAACGACTCCTCAACGTCAACCTGCACCCGGAATAGTGAACATTCCTTCCGTGCCACAACCGACACCTGCACCACAGCCGGGAGTGATTAATATTCCCTCCGTGCCGCAACCGATCCCGCCTTCTCATCAACCTCCCGTCTATGTGGAAACACCCATGAACCCTGTGCCACCTGCACCGCCACATCCGGGAGTGATTAATATTCCCTCTGTGCCGCAGCCTGTGCACCCTCCCCCCATCCATGATGTCACATATTCCACGCCTCAGACACCGATCTCTGAGAGGCCTGTTGGTGTAGTAAATATACCTTCAGTGCCGCAGCCAGTGCATCCCACACCTCCGGCGCCAGTGTACGATGTCAACTATCCCACGCCACACACTCCAGTGCCCCAGAGGCCTGGCATAGTGAACATCCCATCTGTGCCGCAGCCAGCGCCACCCGTGTCGCAGCGTCCAGTATTTATACCCTCGCCAGCGAACCCTGTGTCACCTGCACCACAGCCGGGAGTGATCAATGTTCCCTCTGCGCCGCCACAACCAGTGTATGCCACGCCTCAGCCGCCGATTGTGCAGCGTCCTGCCATATACGACGTGTACTATCCACCGCCTCCGTCGGTACCAGGTGTCATCAATATTCCCTCACCCCCACGGCCAGTGTACCCGGTGCCCCAGCAGCCCATCTATGTGCCAGCACCAGCACCAGCTCCTATTCCCCGACCACAACCACAGCCGGGCGTAGTAAACATCCCTTCAGTGCCACAGCCCACGTACCCAACACAGAATCCACCCATCCAGGACGTCAGTTATCCAATACGTCAACCAAATCCTGTACCGGGAGTTATAAACGTGCCCTCTGTGCCACAACCAACTCCCGTGGCACATCCTGCGCCTGGAGTGATCAATATTCCCTCACAACCGTCGCCACCGAGCTATGTACCAACTCCCGGAGTGGTTAACATTCCTTCAGTACCACAGCCCACGTATCCGTATCAGAATCCACCCATCCACGATGTTAGCTACCCGACACCACAGCCAAATCCTCCTCCTGCACCAGGAGTTGTGAATATTCCATCTGTGCCGCAGCCAGTGCCTTCGCCGATCCCTGGTGTGATCAATATTCCCTCGCAACCATCACCACCGACAGCTGTAGAAAGGCCTGGAGCTATCAACATTCCTTCAGTGCCACAGCCCACGTATCCCACACAGAATCCACCTATCCAGGACGTCACTTACCCTGTACCAACTCCTGTGCCTGGTGTGATCAATATACCATCACAACCGTCGCCACCGATTTATGTACCAACTCCCGGAGTGGTAAACATTCCTTCGGTGCCACAACCTACTCCCGCGGCACCTCAACAGCCTGTGTACGATGTGAACTACGAGATTCAGAGACCGCAACCACAGCCCACACCTGGAATTATCAACATACCAGCCGTGGCACAACCAGCAACCACTCGTCGGCCCAACTATGATGTGGCGAGACCCGTGTTCGAGTTCAATCCCTGCTATCCATCGCCCTGCGGACCGTACTCGCAGTGCCACAATCGCTTTGGAGCGGCCGCCTGCGTGTGTCTGCCCAACTACAGTGGAACCCCTCCCAACTGCCGGCCGGAATGTGTCGTCCAATCGGACTGCCCCTCGGCGCTGGCGTGCATCAGTGAGAAGTGTCGCGATCCCTGCCCGGGATCCTGTGGCTATGAGGCAGTGTGTCGAGTGCACGAACATGTGCCTCATTGCTTCTGTCGCTCCGGCTACACAGGAGATCCATTCGTGTCCTGCCAACCCACGCCGATACAGCATGAAGAGCCCATAGTCCAGAAGGATCCCTGTTATCCCTCAATATGCGGAGCCAATGCGGTGTGTCATGATGGAAAATGCAGCTGCCTGCCGGAGTATCGGGGCGATCCCTACTTTGGCTGTCGTCCAGAGTGTGTCCTGAACACGGAGTGTGCGCGGGACAAGGCCTGCGTCAATCAGAAGTGCCAGGATCCATGCCCAGGAACCTGTGGACTGAACGCCCTCTGCCATGTCTACAACCACTTGGCGACCTGCTCGTGCCCGGAGCGAATGCGGGGCGATGCCTTTGTGCGCTGCGATCCCATACCAGCCCCAATAGAGCCACCTCCAACGACATTGCCCGCTGTGATACCACAGCGCGAACCAATCGATCCCTGCCGACCTTCGCCATGCGGACCCAACGCCAACTGCCGGGCCTATCACGAGCAGGCGATATGCTACTGTCTCCCGGGATACGTGGGCACTCCACCCGCCTGTCGTCCCGAGTGCACCTCGAACTCCGACTGTGCTCTGGACAAATACTGCCTGAATCTCAAGTGTCGCGATCCCTGCCCGGGGGCATGCGGCCTGCGGGCCATCTGCCACGTGCAGAGCCACAGTCCCCGCTGCCTGTGTCCGCCCCATCTCACGGGTAACCCCTTGCTATCGTGTCAGCCCATAGGTATGCCCGATAATCCTCTAAGCCCCAAGCCCAAATCCAAACCCCGTCCTGATCTCACGTCTTGCCTCTTTCAGTTTTGCCACCACCTCCCCGCGACGAAGTAAACCCATGCCTGCCCTCGCCCTGTGGCCCCCACTCTGAATGTCGGGCGACGCCAGACGGCTCTGCCCGCTGCTCGTGTCTGCCACAGTACGCCAGGGGCACCCCACCCCACTGTCGGCCCGAGTGTGTGAGCAGCGCTGACTGCCCCGCCGACAAGGCGTGCCGCAATTACAAGTGCATCGATCCCTGCCCCGGCAGCTGCGGCCAACTGGCTCTCTGTCGTGTGGTGGCCCACAGTCCCATCTGCCACTGCCCCGAGGGCTATGTGGGCGATGCCTACAGCATTTGTGCACGTCCCGAGCCGCCCGTGAGGGATGTGGCTGTGGCTGTGCCTTGCCAGCCCAGTCCCTGTGGCATCAATGCCATTTGTCGGCCCCACCATGACCTGAGCGTGTGCCAGTGCCTGCCCGACTATTACGGCAATCCGTATGAGATCTGTCGGCCCGAGTGTACAGTGAACTCGGATTGCAGCAGCGACCGGGCTTGCCTCGGCGAGAAGTGTCGCGATCCCTGTCCCGGTGCCTGCGGCCCCAATGCCCGTTGTGTGGCCATAAATCACAGCCCCGTCTGCGAGTGCCATGGGGGTTATATTGGCAATCCCTATCTCGCATGTCGTCGGCTGCAGCACGAACGTAAGAAACGAACTCTAAGCATCGCCCTAATCCTAATGCGTCTGCGTCTCTTTCCCCTTGCTCTAAACAACAACAATGCAGTACTCAAGTCTCCGTCCTATGCCTTCTCAGCCTGCTCCTTATGCCGCCATCTCCTCGTAATCTTAAGCATCATCGTTAAACCCCTAAATCCATACAGTCTCTCATCTCTCTCTCTCTCTAAACAACAACGCAGTGCTCAATACCTACAAAAAGCCCCTACTCAATTCTCAGTCTTACGCCTTCTTCGTCTTCGTCTTCGCCTTCGCTACAATATGCCATCATCTCCCTGTCATCGTTAAACCCCTAAATCCATCGAATCTCTCATCCCGAACAACGCAGTGCTCAATTGCTAGCCTTCTAAAGGGAAGAACAACATACATGTCGTGTGCATGACATGTTTGCTTTGCTGCTCCCTGCCCTCGCGCGTCTGTGACAATATGCTAGCTTTTTATACGATACTTAATACGCTTTTGGTTGCCTTGTTAATCGCTAAACGCTTCGCCATGGTCCTGTGATTTGTACGAATGCTAAACACTCGCATATTCTCCAATATAGCCACGCCACCGGAATACGTGAATCCCTGCCAGCCATCGCCGTGCGGTGCCAATGCCCAGTGTCGCGAGTCCCAGGGCCAGGCCATATGCTCCTGCCTGCCCGAGTTTGTGGGCACGCCGCCCGCCTGCCGTCCCGAGTGTGTGATCAGTGCCGAGTGCGCCGCGGACAAGGCGTGCATCAATCAGAAGTGCCAGGATCCCTGTCCCGGCGCCTGTGGCCTGAGTGCCCAGTGCCATGTGCGGAATCACAGTCCGCTATGCTCGTGTCTGCCCGGATTCACGGGCGATGCGTTGACCCGCTGTCTGCCCAATCCCCCACCGCCAAAGCCAGCCAAGTCGGAGGACCCGCCACGCGATCCCTGCTATCCCTCGCCCTGCGGTCCCTACGCCCAGTGTCGGGCGGTGAACGGAGGAGCCAGCTGCAGCTGCCTGCCCAACTATGTGGGCACTGCGCCCAACTGCCGGCCCGAGTGCACCATCAATGCGGAGTGCCCCAGCAACCAGGCGTGCATCAACGAGAAGTGCCGCGATCCCTGTCCCGGCTCCTGTGGCTTTGCCGCCCTCTGCAACGTGATCAATCATACGCCCAGCTGCTCGTGTCCCAGCGGCTATACCGGAGATCCATTCACCAGCTGCCGGATTGTGCCGCCCACCCCACCGCCGACGAGTATGCCCGCCCACCATTTCACAGCCCCCCCTGTGGTCCCTTCTAATGCCGGCCAACCCTCTCTTACAGCTCCGATCTCCGATCCCTGCCAGCCGTCTCCGTGCGGCGCCAATGCCCAGTGCCGCGATGGCCAGTGCTCGTGTCTGCCCGAATATCAGGGTGATGCGTACACCGGCTGCCGGCCCGAGTGCGTCCTCAACTCAGACTGCCCGAGGAACCGGGCCTGTGTGCGGCAGAAGTGCGTGGATCCCTGCCCCGGAAACTGTGCGCCGAACGCCCTCTGCGATGCCGTCAACCACATTGCGATGTGCCACTGTCCCGAGCGGATGACGGGCAATGCCTTTGTCTCCTGCTCCCCGCTGCGCGACGAGCCCCCAGCGCGCCCGGCCAATCCCTGCCAGCCATCGCCATGCGGAGCCAACGCCCAGTGCCTGGAGCGAAACGACGTGGCCATCTGCTCCTGTCTGGCGGGCTACTTCGGTCAGCCGCCCAACTGCCGACCGGAGTGCTACGCCAGCTCCGACTGCGCCCAGGTGCACGCCTGCATCAACCAGAAGTGTGTGGATCCCTGTCCCGGCCAGTGCGGCCTCAATGCCGTATGCCAGGCGGTGCAGCACAGGGCCCACTGCGAGTGCACTGCCGGCTACACCGGCAATGCCTACTCCCAGTGTCGTCTGCTGGTTGTGCATAGACCCGTGTCCAATGCTGTGCGCGATCCGTGCTACCCATCGCCCTGCGGCCCCAACTCCCAGTGCAGCAATGAGAAGGGTCAGGCGCAGTGCCGCTGCCTGCCAGAGTTCCAGGGCACGCCCCCCAACTGCCGACCCGAGTGTGTCAGCAACGACGAGTGCCCCACCAGTCTGGCGTGCATCAATCAGCGGTGCAGCGATCCCTGTCCCGGCAGCTGTGGCCAGAACGCCCTGTGCGTGGTCCGGCTGCACACACCCAACTGTCAGTGCCCCAGCGGCATGACCGGGGATCCCTTCCGCCTGTGCCAAAGTAAGAATAAGTCCATGTCCCTGTCCCTGTCCCAGTCCCACTGTACAACACCCAAAACAAGTTTGCATATTGTATTCAGGCAGGCACCTCCACTTGCAGGACTCCATTTAACCCGTCTAACCTTCCATCATCTCCACCCTTTGCAGAGCCACCACTGCAAGAGCCGCCAGCAGCAGCCACCCCGAAGAACCCCTGCTATCCATCGCCCTGCGGCACCAATGCCAACTGCCGCGTGACCGGCCAGAGCTTTGTGTGCGAGTGCAGCCAGCCGGAGTACATTGGCAATCCCTACGAGGGCTGCCGCCCCGAGTGCGTGGGCAACTCCGAGTGCCCGGCGAACCGGGCCTGTGTGCGCAACAAGTGCGTGGATCCCTGTCCGGGCGTCTGCGGCCTCGAGGCGAGGTGCAACATGAACAACCACATACCGATCTGCTCCTGTCCGACGGGCTACACGGGCAACGCCTTTGTGCAGTGCACGCGCCTGCTGGCGCCGCCGCCCGTCTCCGATCCGTGCTACCCCTCGCCGTGCGGACCCAATTCCGTGTGTCGCGTGCAGAGCGAGAAGGCCGTGTGCGAGTGCCTGCCAGGATTCTTTGGCAATCCGCTGGCCCAGGGCTGTCGCCCGGAGTGCACCCTGAGCTCGGACTGTGCCAAGGACAGGGCCTGCATCAATGCCAAGTGCGTGGATGCCTGTGTGGGCGAGTGCGGCTACGGAGCCGTGTGCCAGACCATCAACCACAGTCCCGTCTGCAGCTGCCCCGCCAACATGGTGGGCAATCCGTTCGTCCAGTGCGAGGCACCGCGCCAGGCGGAGCCAGTGGATCCCTGCAACCCGTCACCCTGCCGCAGCAACGGCATCTGCCGCGTCCACAACGGCGCTGCCACCTGCAGCTATCCCGAGTGCGTGATCAACGAGGACTGCTCCCGCGATCGCGCGTGCGTCAGCCAGAAGTGCCGCGATCCCTGTCTGCAGGCCTGCGGCCTCAACGCCATCTGCCGCGCCATCAACCACAAGGCTGTCTGCAGCTGTCCGCCCGACTTCTACGGCTCGCCGTACGCCCAGTGCCTGCGGCAGATACCGCCGCAGCTGGAGCAGCCCAAGCAGCCGCAGCCGGAGTGTGTCAGCGATGCGGAGTGCACCAACGACAAGGCCTGCATCAACCAGGCCTGCCGCAATCCCTGCGAGCAGTCGAATCTGTGCGCCCCACAGGCCCGCTGCCACGTCCAGCTGCACCGGCCGCTGTGCGTCTGCAACGAGGGCTACACGGGCAATGCCCTGCAGCACTGCTACCTGCTCGGCTGTCGCTCCGACACCGAATGCGCCCCCACCGAGGCCTGCATCAACGAGAAGTGCGTGGATCCGTGCGGCTTCACCCAGTGCGGCACAGGAGCCACCTGTCGCGCCGACTTCAACCATCGCGCGCGCTGCCACTGTCCGGATGGATACCGCGGCAATCCGCTGGTGCGCTGCGAGCGGCCCGAGTGCCGCAGCGACGACGAGTGCTCCTTCCATTTGGCCTGCCGCAACGAGAGATGCGAGGATCCGTGCAGCTGCGGCATCGCTGCCCAGTGCCGTGTGGACAACCATCGCGCCCAGTGCCGCTGCCCGGCGGGCTTCAGTGGCAATCCCGCCGTACGCTGTGACCTGGTGCCCGTGCAGCCCGAGGGCTGCACCATGGACGCCGAGTGTCCCAGCCGGCTGGCCTGCTTCTCCGGCCAATGCCAGAACCCTTGCGCCGTCACCCATCCGTGCGGGGCCAACGCCATCTGCGATGTGGTCGACACACTGCCCCTGCGCACCATGACGTGCCGCTGTGAGCCCGGCTATGTGGGTGATGCTGACATTGGATGTCGCAAAGGTGAGACATCGGTCCCAGTCGGAATCGATTCATTGCTTTCGCTTTGCTTTACTTTTGAGTTTGCTTTTATCTCATTGCAGCAGAGACTTTTTTATTGTGTGAAAAATATTAATATATAAATATATATAAACCCGATCTTTAGAGCGCATATATGCACCACCTTTGCAGTTGTACATATATATTGTATCGCGCACTCTTTAACTCTTAACTCTCGCACCTGCCACTATGCCACATATATTTATACAGCTGCTAATTTGCTGCATTTTCCTCTCCATTTAGAACCCGCTCAAGATCTGGGCTGCACATCGCACGATCAGTGCCAGGACACGGAAGCCTGTCGCGCTGGCAACTGTGTCAATCCCTGCCTGGATGGCTCACCGTGCGCCCGCACAGCCCAGTGCCTGGCCCAGCAGCATCGCGCCATTTGCAGCTGCCCGCAAGGCACCCAAGGCGATCCCTTTACCAACTGCTACCAGCCACGTAAGTTGCATTTATCGATTGGCCCCCCCCCCTAATGGATCGATAACATTATTCGATCATCTTTTGCAGCACAAATCACAGCTGGCTGCGCACACGACTCGGAGTGCACACCGACGACGGCGTGCATCAATAAGCGTTGCCAGGACCCGTGTGCCGAGGCCAATCCCTGTGCCGGCAATGCCGAATGTCGTGTGCAAAACTCACGTCCCATATGCTACTGTCCCGCTGGCTGGGGCGGTGATCCGCAAGTCCAATGCTACAAACGTAAGTGGGAGGAGAGAGAGCGAGAGAGCCGCTTGACAAGCCCTAAAAATTCGCTTTTTTATATTTACAGCTGAATGCAAAATAAATGCGGATTGTCCCTACGACAAGGCTTGTCTGAACGAGAACTGCGTGAATCCGTGCACCCATGGACAGGTGCGTTGCGGCAGTGGAGCCGAGTGCTTGCCGCAGAATCACCAGGCTGTCTGCAGCTGTCCGGCCGGCACTCAGGGCAGTCCCTTCGTGGCCTGCATAACCGGCCACTGCCAGTACAACGAAGACTGTGCCGATCACGAGGCCTGCGATCGCCTCAACCGCGTTTGCCGGCCCGTCTGCGAGCAGGAGACCTGCGCCTTGAACGCCATCTGTGTGGGACGACGCCATCAGCCGCAGTGCGAGTGCCGTGCGGGCTACCAGGGCAATCCGTTTGTCCAGTGCGATATGCCGCAGCGCACCCCACAGTCGCCGGAGTGCACCCAGGATGCCGAGTGTCCCTCGAAGCTGGCGTGCATCAACGAACGCTGTGCCGATCCGTGCGCCACTCCGCATGTGTGCAGCCCCCAGCAGACGTGTGCCGTGCTCGATACCCTGCCGTTGCGCACCATGATCTGCAAGTGTCCCAGCGACACGGTCACCGATAGCTCCGGCAACTGTGTGGCCATCAGGCGACCCATTGCCCCGCCCAGCGGTGGCTGCCAGCACAGCTCCGAGTGCGCCAATCCCGAGGTCTGTTCGAACGGCAACTGCCTGGACGCCTGCCGCCTCGAGAAGTGCGGCGTCAATGCGCAGTGCACCTCGCGGGATCACTACGCCCAGTGCAGCTGTCCAGCTGGCTACCAGGGCAATCCCCGCATCGAGTGCTACTCCACGGAGATCGGACTGCCCAAGAGTCCAGAGCCGGGCTGCACGCGTGACGACGACTGCCCCAGGGACAAGACATGCCGCAACGAACTGTGTGTGAGTCCCTGTGCTGCGGATGCGTGCGGCATCGGTGCCTACTGCCATGTGCAGCAGCGGAAGGCCATCTGCCGCTGTCCGCCCGGCTACACGGGCGATCCCAAGGAACGCTGTCTGCCACGTACGTACATCACTCACTGAGCATCACTCCTGCCAATAGATTTAACCCTCCATCTCTCCCATTTTTCCTCCCATCCGTACAGCTTCCGATGTGATAACCGTGGGCTGCAAGTCCAGCAGCGATTGTCCCGTGACGGAGACCTGCATCAATGCCCAGTGCATCAGTCCGTGCAACTGCGGACCGAATGCCGAGTGCAGCGTGAAGAACCATCATCCCATCTGCTACTGCAAGCCAGGATTCTCCGGGAATGCCCAGTTCGGCTGTGCGGCCATCGGCTGCCAGTCGGATGACGAGTGCAGCGGCGACAAGCAGTGCTTGAATCGCGAGTGCATCAGCCCCTGCCTGGTGGTCGATCCCTGCGCCTTGAATGCCGAATGCTACGGACGCAATCATCGCGCCAACTGTCGCTGTCCCGCCGGCCTCGAGGGAGATCCGTTCGTGCGCTGCCTGCGCCTCGAATGCCACTCGGACTACGACTGTGCCTCGAACCTGGCCTGTCTGACCAACCAGTGTGTGGATCCGTGCGGCCAGCAGAATCCCTGCGCCCAGAACGCCATCTGCCAGGCGCTGCAGCATCGCGCCGTCTGCCGCTGTCCGGAGCAAATGCCTCTGGGCAATCCGTACGCCTACTGCGAGCGCCGACCCGTCGAGCCCGTGTGCCGCGATGACGGCGACTGCCCCAGCGGCCTGGCCTGCATCGATGCCAAGTGCCAGAACCCGTGCACCGAACTCTCGCCCTGCGCCCGCACCGCCCAGTGCAGTGTCCTCGACAGTGTGCCAGTGCGAACCATGGTCTGCGAGTGTCCCGAGTCCCAGGTGCCGGACGCCAGTGGCGAGTGCCGCCAACTGGTGCTGGCCAGTCCGCCGGGCTGTGAGAGCGACCAGGACTGCCCCGACCAGGAGGCGTGCATCCATCGCCAGTGCCGCAATCCCTGCAACTGTGGCACCAATGCCATCTGCCAGGTGACCCAACATCGCGCCGTTTGCAGCTGCCAGGATGGCTTCGAGGGCAATCCCTACGCCGCCTGCCGCTCGATCGGCTGCCGCGTGGACGGGGAATGCGATTCGGGCAAGGCCTGCATCAACGGCGACTGCATCAATCCCTGCCTGATCAACGATCCCTGCGGCCCCAATGCCGAGTGCTTCGTGCAGTCGAACCACGCCCAGTGCCGCTGCCTCAGCGGCTACCGCGGCAATCCCTACGAGCGCTGCCGCATCATCGGCTGCAGCAGCAACAACGACTGCCCCACGGACAAGACCTGCCAGAACGAGCAGTGCGTGAATCCCTGCGTCTACCACAATGCCTGTGCCCCGCGCGCCGAGTGCCGCCCCCAGAATCACCTGGCCGTCTGTCGCTGTCCCGCCGACCATGTCGGCAATCCCTACGTGGACTGCCGCCCACAGCCACAGCCCGTCTGCGTGCTGGACACGGACTGCCCGTCGCGACAGGCCTGCATCAGCGAACAGTGCGTGGATCCCTGCCTCGTCCTGGAGCCCTGCCAACGCCCCGCCCAGTGCCAGGTGACGCCCACGTCCCCGGTACGCACCATGATCTGCATCTGCCCGGACGGCTACATCAGCAGCGGCAGCGGCAGCTGCAAGCCCACCACCGGCATCGTCAAGGTGGGCGGCTGCATCTCCGACTCTGACTGTGCCGCCGACAAGTCCTGCCTGAACGGCATCTGCCGCGATCCGTGCAACTGCGGCGTGAACGCCGAGTGCCGCATCAAGGACCACAAGCCGGTGTGCACGTGTCGCCAGGGCTACGAGGGCAATCCCGAGTTCGAGTGCGCCAAGAGCGAGTGCCACATCAACGCGGACTGCCCCGGCACGCATGCGTGCCGCAACCAACTCTGCGTGCCCGCCTGCCAGGGCGAACAGTGCGGCTCGAATGCCCAGTGCCTGGCCATCAACCATCGGGCCGTGTGCGAGTGTGCGCCGGGACACGGTGGCAATGCCCGTTTGGGCTGCACACCGCTCGGCTGCCGCACCGACGACGAGTGTCCCACGGACCGGGCGTGTGTGAACGGCAAGTGCAACGATCCGTGCGCCACGACGGCCATCTGCGGCCGCGACGAACTGTGCAAGGTGTACCAGCATCGACCCCAATGCGCCTGCCCGCCGGGCACTGTGCCCGGACGCAATGGCTGCGAGACCGAACGGCATGCGCCCATCTGCATCAGCGACGGGGACTGCCCCAGCCAGAGGGCCTGTCTGCGCGGAGAGTGCGTGAATCCCTGCAATGCCACACAGCCGTGCGGCGTGAATGCCGAGTGCCGTGTGCGCGACACCCTGCCCGTACGCACCATGATCTGTGAGTGCCTCGAGGGCTACACCGGCAATGCGGCGGTGCAGTGCGACAAGCGATCGCTCTGCGTCATCGAGAAGGGCTTCGTGCGCGACGTGGACGGGCAGTGTGTGTGCCCGCCGGGCACCGCGCTGGACATTTACGAGTACTGCACCCCGTGCCAGGTGGAGCAGGGCTTCCGCATCGACGAGAGCGGCCATTGCGTGTGCGCGCTGGAGCGCGGCATGGTCATCGACGAGCGCGGACGCTGCACCTGTCCCATTGAGCTGGGCTACCGGCTGACGCCACGAGGAGAGTGCCAGCCGGAGGAGCCGCCCGAGTGCACCACCAACGACCAGTGCGCGGACAATCGCTACTGCAATCTGGATACCAAGACCTGCGAGGATCCCTGCCTGACCAAGGTGTGCGGAGTGAATGCCTTCTGCAATGCCGTCAACCATCGTGCCCAGTGCCAGTGCATCACCGGCTACACGGGCAATCCGGAGCTGCATTGCAACCACACCAACTTCCGCACCGACTTCCCCAGGACCCGACATGGTCGTCAGCTGCCTGGCCGATGGCGTTCAAGTCGAGATTCACATCACGGAGCCCGGCTTCAATGGGGTCCTGTACGTGAAGGGCCACAGCAAGGACGAGGACTGCCGTCGTGTGGTCAATCTGAATGGCGAGACGGTGCCACGCACCGAAATCTTCCGCGTTCACTTCGGCAGCTGTGGCATGCAGGCGGTCAAGGATGTGGCCAGCTTTGTGCTGGTCATCCAGAAGCATCCCAAGCTGGTCACCTACAAGGCCCAGGCGTACAACATCAAGTGCGTCTACCAGACGGGCGAGAAGAACGTCACGCTGGGCTTCAATGTGTCCATGCTGACGACAGCCGGCACCATTGCCAACACCGGACCGCCGCCCATCTGCCAGATGCGCATCATCACCAACGAGGGCGAGGAGATCAATTCGGCCGAAATCGGCGACAATCTCAAGCTGCAAGTGGATGTGGAGCCAGCCAGTAAGAGAATCAAGCCCCCAAGACCATGTCTCAGCAGTATCCTAATCCTCTTATGTTTCTCTGCCCACAGCTATTTATGGTGGCTTTGCTCGCTCCTGCATTGCCAAGACCATGGAGGATAATGTCCAGAACGAGTATCTGGTCACGGACGAGAACGGCTGTGCCACGGACACGAGCATCTTTGGCAACTGGGAATACAATCCGGACACCAACAGTCTGCTGGCCAGCTTCAATGCCTTCAAGTTCCCCTCGAGCGACAACATACGATTCCAGTGCAACATACGCGTCTGCTTCGGCCGCTGCCAGCCGGTCAATTGTGGTGGCTACAATGCCTTTGGGCGACGTCGCCGCTCCATAGCCGACAACTCGAGCGACACGACTGCCATTGCCACCAACTCGGGGGTTGAGGGTCAGCTGCGCGAGGAGATAACCATCTCATCGAATGCGATTCTCACATTCGAGAAGCGCAGCGGTCCAGGCCTCAATGATGCCAACAGTGAGTAGTAGCCCCCATTCCGCACATTCTCAATGACAAACACTAACCCTTTGCTTCCTTTCCTTTCGTCTGCCATCCTCTAGTCAAACCGGCGGCACAGCGAGTGGAGGATATATGCGTATCGATGGTGGGACTGATCATTGCCTTGGTCATCACGGCTCTATTGGCACTTGTGGCCGTCGCCGTGGCCGTCTCCTGCTGGCTAATGGCCTACAGAAGGCGACCCAAGACCATAGCGCCCCTGCCACATCCGCCAGAGTTCCCCAATCCGCTCTTTGCCAATCCCGACGCTGTGCCCGAGCCAACGCCGGACTACATATCCTAAACACTACACCGGACACAAAAACAAACACACACACCTAGCTATAACACACCTTAGACGATAAGAAAGAACAAAAAAACTACCAGAGAAAAAAAAGGGTAATATTTTCACAGAATTTTAAATTAATGTGAATATTTGAAAGGCACGTGCAAAAAGTTCTGCAAAATGCAAAACACATCTAATGATATCTCAATGAAAATGCGAAGAATGAATCAAAGAAAAACAAAAGTAAATTTGTGAGCTGAAAGAATGACACGGCCGGAATAATGGCCGTAGAACGAAATGAAAATGAAATTGTAAAAAGCGAGAATTTTGTATGCAAACAAAATGCATGCATGCAGAAGATAATAATAGTACTTTAAGAGAATAATTTTATTATTTGTATTAACATTTAGTGTTCTCTCTCTCTCTCTCTCTCCCCCACTAATATGAGAATTTTGCGTAGTGTAGCAGAGTATTTAGCTTCCAGCATAAAAATAGAATCGAATCCAGAAACTGCCAAAACAGAAGAGATGTAGATGTAGGAGCGAAGCGGGGGTACACAGAGTGCAGCTACAAACGAATTCTCGTCCTCTAACGACAACTTCTTCATTAGTCGATTATCAATATTAATATTCTGTTATATGTACATGCGTATTATATGTATGACTAAAGACTTCCTATAAATATTTAGGGTGTGGGTAGTACCAACGACACTTTGTATTATAGCACAGAAACACACACACACACACTTCCTGTAACTTTAAATATGAACTCAACTCGCCTTTTAAAATTGAAAACTGCCTTGATTTTCCAACACAAACGAACAATGCACCACAGAATACTCTCTCTAGCAGTATGTAAGACCTTCCGCTGAACCTTCCGCTTGTGTCAGCTATAACCACTTGACAATATGCCAACGATTGTCTCTGATGGATTGTACAAGAGCTCAAGAGTTAAACACACACACACACACACACAATCAGATACACAAACTCTAAGCTCGAAGCACATGGAAGTACGTTCGAGAAAAAAAGTATATAATAACCTTTTACTGCCACTGAGGCGTCCAAACAGCGCACAAAACGATACATACTGTCCATCTAATGCATAGGAAAAATACTAGGTTTGTTTTAATTTTAATTGCAACGACGACGACTAATGGAGGATTTGATTTTGAACACTATCCACCCACGACTACTTACCACTGTACTGTACTGTACCACTAGCCTCTACTATGTTTAACCAATTATTTTTGTAGTTTCTTAGTCAATTAATATTAAATTGTTGTGATTGTTTTTAATGCAAAAGAGATACTTCCACTAAACTTACTAATATGTAGGGAACCCAAGTATAAAGAGTACTTTAAAAGGCAACGAACCAGCGCGCCCCCTATCCGCCCCCCACCACCAACACCACCATCAACTTATATTTGCTTCATCAAGGGAGAGTCCGCTGCTGTCAACGCGCCGGAAACTATGCAGCGAATTTTCGTTTCCGGTGTCAGTTCATAGAGCGCAACTGTACTTGATGGGAGTTTAATTTGAGTATAGGCATATATAGGAGAGGGGGGAATGATTAGCCTGGATAATTAAATTATTAAAATGAAGTTTTAAATTAATATTATTAAACGTAAACAAAATGTATAGTCACTACTTTAAGCCGAACGTGAAGCGTTGAGAGACAGAAGAGCACTTCTTTATGGTGAAAATACCATACAAAAATATATAAACTCGCACTCAGACACGTACACAAAGAGACAGACATTGTAAATAATACGCAGGCAGCAAAACTCTATGGTATTTTAGGTAGCGCATTATTGTGTATAGGTTTCCATACTTTGATCCTATCCTATCCCAAATCTGAATCCGTTCCATGCCAGGCATAAAATTGAAATTATTTTCTTAATACCACAACCACATGGGCGCACTTCGATGTACCTAAGCGAGTGCACAAAAAATATTTCAAATTATTTAACCCTAAACGTTACCAAACACACACTTTTATTTTTCTTTTATAAATTTAACAAAAATGTATAACCTTTTATCCGAATAGAGCTCCAAATAGAGTTCAATCTGGACAAAACTTTTTGCACTGGCAGCAAATATCAAGAATTCAAAAGAAAGTAAACCCTTATTGTAAAAAGAACACAATAGTTCAATTGTAATTATAAAGAATTGTATTTAAAACGACAAAAAAAAATGAGAAACGAAATTAATTGTAATCGCTTATTGTAAACTAATAAATAAATAAATAAATATAAATCACATTATGTCTTATTGAACTCAGAATACTCGAATGTCAAGCATACCATCTCTGCGCTTATACTGTTGAATCTGTGAGACGCAAAATTGGTCGGCGCATAACCGTAATCAAAATTAATATGCATAAGCATATGGGGACAGTGGAGTGGTAGCCGCAGAACAAGCTTAACCCGCTTACCCCGCTTGGAGATCCCCAATTACACTTCCAGTCCCAGTTCATTATGCCTATTATGGGTATGGCTGGCTGGCTGGCTGGCTGGCTGGCTGGCTGGCTGTTGTTCTGCTTGTAGTATCTTTGTTTGATAATGGAGAGCCCCCACACACACATACGCATGAAGAGTACGAGAGGCATTTGGAGAGGCCGCAAGAGAGAATGAGAGAGCGGATCGTGCTGATTGTGTTGTGGTGCCGCCACCGCGTCCCCGTAAAGTGTAAACGATATTCGCGAACGTGTATGGGATCAGTTGACATTTGACAGCGCGCGTGGTGGCACGTTCTGGGCCCATTGTCTGGAGGGAAATCCATAATTCAGCGCGTATACGCCGGGGCCGCAAATTCGTCGACATTTTTGGTGTCTTTCGTGGTTTCAAAGTGTACCTACTCGTCAAATTTGCAATCGCACTGGCTTTCAGATTGAGCATAAAGTACGGGTATACCGCGACACCAAATTGATTCCGGGCGACTGTCGTCGTCGGGTAATTGATACAATTCCATATAATGTGTGTGTTGATTATGTTATTACGAGTATTAGGATGCAAATTAGGCAACAAACGGGAAATATAAATAAATAAATAAAGTGAATCCCTGCCAAAGTTGATTGTAGCTTTTGAGCTGACAAAATGAATGAAATTACCATTATTATTGTCAATTGCAATCATTCTGATTATCATAATTAATGTGTGTGATTATATTTCGGTTTAGTGTTTCGTGTTTTTGTGATTTTGGTGACTTGTTGGTGGCCCAACAAACCCATCAATAAAACATTTGTTTAATCTCTGTTTGGGCATCTGGACAAGCAAAAGTTGTATAATGACTTGCTATGACTTGTCGCCCCATCGATTGATAGGCGAAGCTTTCATTAGCAAGTCCAAGTGCTAATTTTTTTATAGACCAACAAGCGACAATGTGAATACTCGTAGAACATTTGTTTTACGATGCACAAGATCCATATAAAGTTTTCGCTTTATAATCGAAGTTCGCGTATTGGCTGACAATTTGTAGCCCATTGTTAGACAAAACAAAAATTAGCAAAACATTTCTCACCATTGGAATTTTCTCATGGTTTTGCCACTGAGAATCCCCCCCACAAAGAAAGTCATTATATTCTACACGTATCATAAATGATTGATTGATTCAAACAAATACTGAAAATATATCCAAACAAATTTCAATGTCATTCCAACAACAAGTCAACAGATGCTTTCAAAAGTGATCTCTTAAGAGGCTTACGGCACACAGTTATGTAAAACTGATACCCCACCTAAGCCCAACACTTGCCATACACGAATCAGCTTAGTATTTCACATTCCAGGCTTAGTTCAAACATTTTACATTCGTGCCTCGTGCTCGGACAGAAAATTTACATACAACTTGGGGACCAGACCGGCTCAGCTTATTGATATTACAATAAAAATGAAACCCCATAGCGTGTCATGTGCGACTTGATATGCGACACATACGAGTATAAGTGTTTGTCGTGTAAGATGCGTAATGACATTATTAATTGCCGCATAGTTTTGCCATTCTCTTCGAATTCAGTGACCCTTGGACACCGAAAAGTCAGTGGAGCAAATCAACAGATCAAAAAGATCATCGCATGCTTATGACGCGCATCGTCTGTTCATTTGAATCCATGGAAACTTTCAAATTGTATGTGAATTCGTAAATCGGCTAGCACGGAATATCTCGATATGGCTAAGCTATCAAAAATGAAAGCAGACAAAGAAATGCTGCTACATAAGGTGCTGACTGCTCCGAGAGTGGGCGGGGTGTAGATACCTCGTACCTTAACTCTACCTACCGATAAGATACAAATTTGTATCTGTCGAGTCAAGTGCTAGTAGCTGTCTGTGTGAGTGTTGCTGTTTGAAGAGCTCGTGTGAAGGTTTATCTCTGACGGTGATAAAATGGAACAAAAATGGGACAAAACTTCAGCTTGTTGCTTATTTATATAAACAAATAAAAATAAATATATACAACGTTCATACAAATTCCCCTAAAAAGTGTACAAGTGCAGTCACATTTATGGGCCAGCAATGAGTCGCGAGAGTCGGAGAGAATTCATACGAAACTTTCGTTATGTCATGATAATTATAAGTGAAAAACGTTGTACATTTTGTGTTGTATTTCTTAGGGTTTCTAAGAGGCTAAAATTAGAGTCCAAATATTTTTTTTTTTTTAAGAAAGTTTTCTCATATCTTCAGTGAGAGCACATGATATGCCATGTGTATTTCTGGTGTGCTGCTGATTTATTTAAATACATAGGACTTGAAAGCTTAAGCCTAACATACTACAGAGAACCACACTAACAAGATTGTTATATTCAGGGCTTTCTATGTGATTTAAAGCACCGACAACATCCCGTTGAGAGAGTCGCAAACGCTGCAAAACGACCCGGCCTCAGATTGTGAGCATTAAAATGAAAGATACGAAAGCAGCAGCAGCAGCATCAGCAAGCCAGTGCAAACATCAGCAGAAGCAGCAGACCAACATGGTTTTATGATCGCCCCCCAAAACTCAAGCCCAGAAGCTCGAATTTGCGCAGCAACAAAAAAACGCAGCCACCAGGAGGAGATCCCAGACCAGATCCCTGTAAAAAAAAGAATAACCATCAGCATGTCGGAGAGCAATGAAGCCGCTGGTGGACTGGCGAAGACAGCCTCCTCGCCCACCGCCCTCAACCTGGTGACGAAGCGCTCCACGCTTCGACACAGCCAGCTGTCGGACAGTGGTGCTGAGAGTTGTGGCGACGGCG